GTGCTCCAAGATGAAGACTGCCTCAGCTTGGATCCGCGGCCGCACTGACTAGTGAGGACTGGAGGGTGGTTTGTTGGCCAGTCAGTCAAGTACAAGTAGTTGGTTGGGCTTGCTGGTTGGTTTGGTTGGTTGGCCTGGGTAGGGTTGGGTTGGGTGGTTGTGTGTGGTGTTGTTTCTGTTGTAGTTGTAGGCTGGCGCTGGGACTGTGTTGGTTGACTGGTTGGTTCTCTGGCTGACCGGCTTGCTGGCTTGTTTTGTTTGTTTAGTTGTTTGTTGGGTTTGTTCCACCCTTTGAGTGCCCCGACTCCGCAACTGAGGCAACGCTCCGCGGCACGCCTGGGGCCAATGTGCAACAGCTCGGGCGACTCGGACTTTCCCCAAAAGGTCACTTGCAAGGCCCGTTGAAACAAGTCGTTTGGTTGGCTTAACGGAAGCTAACACCACTTGTTAGCTTGCTGCGTTTGGGTGTGTCTTTTTCGGAGTAGCCCATTGATAGGAATGCAACAAGTTTGGATCTTAGGACAACCACTGTGACTGTATTTGATGTTGGCATGGTGACCACCCTATCCGAAGTATTCAAGACCACTGCCCAGTCACCCCCCGAGCCTGGTTTCACAAGCAACGCCCACCCAGCAAACACAAGTTCCTCTTCGGTCGCACATGTGCGAATAGCTATGACCATGTCCCATGCTACATGCCACGGGTTTAGGATATGCAACTGAGGGATGCCAAATTCATTGAGTCGAAGAATGGCCCAGTACTGCACGTGCCAGCTAGTTGAGATTGCAGCTCGAACTTGACGTGAACCAAGTTGGGCTGCTAGCTAGTGGGTGGTGTTGCATCAAGGTAGGCAGTGAGGCATCCGAGCACACGTTCCAAGAGGTCCATGCATTTGTTGGCGCAAGGCAAAGGGATTGGCGTGGTTTAGATGCGACAACCGCACTGGAATCAAGAACGCTTAGTTGAAGGAGTCTCATGAATTGAAGCAGCACAATCAGCTCCGCAGCAACTGCTTGCAAGAACAATGATATCCGAAAGGGGTGAACCATAGCACACAGGAGGAACTTTGTGGTAGAATCTGCACCGCATCGAGGCCAAAGCTCCACCAGCGTCCTGTTGTGAACAAGGCAAGATGCCTGTGTTGTACTTACCAACATCACACGAGTTGGCTTGGCCTCGGCTGATTTTTGCAGGGGAAACGAGCGGCCTGATGTTTTTGAATTTCTTTCCGGTGATGCTGGATGCAATTTGGCTGCTTTTGTGGTGTCAATACAAAACGCCCGCGTGCCACTTGCTGTTTGGAAGTCAACGCATGTTTGCTGCAGCTGGAGTTGTGGTCTTGTCCATGTGAATATGAATGCTAGGTGTTTTCAAGAGATGTGAACGCCCCCTACTTCGGAAAGTGGTGATCTCTCCAACTGGAAACGCCGATGGAAATGCTCTCCATGCAGCATGGTGTTTGGAATGTGATGCAGTGAGTTGCATGTTGAGCATCGGCTTAAACCTGGCGGGAGTTTAAATAAAGTTGGAAACCACCATTTACAAGTTGCAATGTTCAGGTGTATTCACTGTAAGGATCCCTGCTTCCTCAGACAATTTTTTCGTGGACCACTAAGGACAGTCCTAGGCGCCCTTTGCGCGTCTTTGGGTCTTTGAGATTGCACTCTTGGGTAGCTAGAAGCTGAGCCTCGAGCAGCTTGAGCATCACACCCACCCAAACTGGACGGCTGCCAGGCCTGTCCACACTGCTGCTACCACGGGGAGAATGAGGTGCCTTGTTTGCCGTGGAGAAGATGCCGCCAGAAATCAGGCGATTAGCTTTTTCAAGAAATGAATGAGCCTTGCCTCGACCCACGGCGGTACGGCAGCTGAGTTTTTGGCCGTGCCTCTTGGCAAAGCAGAACAAAGGTAGAGCATGGAGCGGTTATTCACAACGGATGCTGCGCTCGCGCCCGTTGATCACTGTAGGTGCCATGCCTTGATGTGGAGCAATGCGCGGAGAAGGGTCCGACCAACGGCAGGCAAGGGCTTGTTGATCGTCATGTCCTAGCTTCGCGAGCCTCCTTTAGTGTTACGCAGGGAGACCAAATCCACTTATTGGGAGGGGCCTCTGCCTACAATGTACACTCCCACATGCTTGCGATTTGAAGCAAGAGGCCTGGGTTTAAGGCAACAGTTGAGACGCCAATTGACACGTCAGCTTCAGGTATGCGATTGTCATGACTTACGTGGGCCAGCCTCACGACAAGATGCTGCCGTACATTCGGTCCATGCAAGCGGCAGCTGCAATGGCCAACAATGCAGACATTGTAATGGCTATGCGGAAGTCCGACACTTGTCTGCAGATTTTGCACTAGTGGGGATTGCCGGCTTCACGCTCCCCCTTTTCGTCGGTACAACGAGGATTTGCGTGCACCGACTTGTGCCCGTGTCGTGTTGAATGTTGGGCTTGGAGGCGCCTTTGAAGAAGCACATTGAGCGATTCTATAGATTTGAGATCTGCCGCATGTTCAGGAACTGAGCTTGAAGCTACAGGAGTATGGCAGTATGTGTGAAAATGCACGCATAAAGTACCTTGACGGGATTTGTTGGTAGAGAAGGTTTGTAAGGTCGAATTTTCGGCACTGCTCAAGTGATTTGTGTGGACCCTTCCGGCGATTAGGGGCCAAAACAGCATTATATAGTAGTTGCACATTGGTTTTCAAGGGATCATGCTCAATGCTGCATCAGCATATGACCCAGGTGTTCATGCAATAGGTATGTGTGCTTTCAAGCCTAAGATGGCACATCAATCGCTGGAGGTTTAGTAATCCAGGGTTCCACTTATTCCACCTTGCAGAGGACAGCGAGCAAATGACGCAGAACCAGAAAGAGCTCTTCCGGAATCACAGCATCAAGCTGCGCCTCGGCGGCTCTTCAGTGTTCGAGCCCGGTGTGCATGGCAATTCACCCCGGCTTCCAGAGTGACCCGTGGTCCAGGTTGGACGTGGACTGGGACACGCCTCCGAAAATGAAGGCCTACCAGGAGGGCGCGTGGTGCGGGCACCAGGACTTCATCCGACTCCACGTGCTGGGCATGGAGGGCGCCTAAGCGGCTTTTGTTTTGTTTGGAGGATCCTTTGACACCGAGTTTGGCGTTGAGAACACACTTCATGCCAGTCACTCAAAGCAAGATGAGGAAGTGGCCTTTCACCCTGATCTGTGGTGCTATGTTGGCAGTTGGGACACATGAAAGTGGCAGACAAAGTGAGGCTATGATGCAGTGGCCTACTACGACACGGACGTTGAGTTCCAGGGAGACATTACCCCCGTGCTTCGTTGCGCTGCCTCCGGCCGCTTGGTCACATACTGGACCGTGCGGCTTCATAGGGAGTATCTCCACAAGAAGCGCAGAAGCTTTAGCATATGACACTGCTACTTCATGTATTATCCAAGGAAGTTTAACAAGAAACTTCCGTAGTACTGGAACTAAATGAGCTAGCTGCTTCGACGCATGGCCATGACAGATAGCTTGACACATAGATAGCTTTCTAAAATATGGTTAGGCAGGCGCAGCACTTTCGCAAGGTCAAGTATAGATTTCTTTGCAGGCGCAGCACTTTCGCAAGGTCAAGTATAGATTTCTTTGCAGGCGCAGCACTTTCGCAAGGTCAAGTATAGATTTCTTGGCAGGCGCAGCACTTTCGCAAGGTCAAGTATAGATTTCTTGGCAGGCGCAGAACTGTCGCAAGGTCGAGTACAGATTTCGTGACAGGCGCAGCACTTTCGCAAGGTCAAGTGTAGATTTCGTGGCAGGCGCAGCACTTTCGCAAGGTCAAGTGTAGATTTCGTGGCAGGCGCAGCACTTTCGCAAGGTCAAGTAGAGATTTCGTGGCAGGCGCAGCACCTTCGCAAGGTGCTGTATCCACACTCTGCGAGCTAGGGGATAGCAAGATGGAGAAAACGTTGGCTCCGTGCGTGAATTCGGCGCTGCGACGCCTGCTCGGAGGCGGGTTCGGGGCTGTCTCGGAACGGTCTCGACAGATAGACGGAGAGATCGATATGTTAAAGAAAGAAGGACAGAAAGACAGGAAGGATGGAAAGAAAGACTGAGAGAAAGAGAGCGAAAGAGAGAAGCGCGACAAGCGCAGGAAGCCGCAGAAAGACACAGGTGTCTTTGACTGCCCAGTCCAAGGCGCTCTGCAAGAGTAACTGTCTTTCTGTTTACTTCACGTGGCTCAGATGTAGTTACTTTCGCAACTTGCGCATTTGGCACACCTCACACCTGACCACGCAACTTGTCACACTTTACTCAACCCCACAGTCAGTCAAGCGCTCCAAGGGATGAAGAAGTCGCCCGCCGACCCGGCGACAAGGAGAGCTGCGCGAAGCCCATTCGGTCGCACGTGTGCACTACGAGAAGGCGCGAATGCCGCCTGGAACAGTGGTGCCATCATGGAGGATGGCCGGCGAAAGGGCCTGTACAGATTGCGCGGCCTTTGCAACTGCCACCGCCTGAACACACACGACCCACTGAAGGCAATGGGTCTGGTGGCTAACGTGGACGATCAGGTGGTCTTGACAGCGCAAGCAGCCGTGAACTATCTGACAAAGTACATCGGCAAGCTAGGCGGCGGGCAGCCTGCAGCCCCAAAAATGTCGTCGTACATCGACGAAGTCATCTGCAACATGCCAGATGACCAAGAGATGACCGTGGCGTCGCTCTTGTCCAGGCTTTGCATCCACGCCGCAGTGCCGCAGGAGATTTCCTCCTTGGAATCATGGCACGCGTTGCCACGCGTGCTTTCGTTATGGCGCTGAACGCGAAGGACACCCAGTCCTTCAGAGACATTTCTGAGATAGAGCATTCCAACCAGAAGGAGTCTGCTCTACGGCCGAGCAAGGTCGAAAACTACATGAGCCGCATGGGCAGCAAGCGGGATGAGGCATTGCGCGCGGAAGATTTGCAGCGCATGTCTTAGCCGGGGCGGACGCGGGCAGCGCCTGTCGCTCCGCCGCAAGCCGTGTGTCGTGAAGGAAAAAGCCGTTCCTACAGCTGGACGCGCGGCCCAGACTACAGTACGGCTTGAGCAGACGCAGAGAAAAGGCGCTCTCGGGGGGGGGGGGGGAAGAAGGAAAGTTGAACTTGAAGCGCTCGTTTGTTTTTTGCTTTGGCGCACTGGGATGAAGGCTTTGGAAAAGGACAAGAAAAAAAGCTGAAAACAGCACACAAGACGAAGAGAGAGAGAGAGAGAGACAGAGAGAAAGAGAGAGAGAGAAACAGAAAGAGAGAGAGAGAGAGAGAGGGAAGGAAAGAAAGAAAAGAAAAGAAAAGAAAAGAAAAGAAAAGAAAGAAAGAAAGACAGAAAGAAAGAAAGAAAGAAAGAAAAGGCAGAAAGAAAGAAAGAAAGAAAGCAAGAAAGACGGAGAGAGAGAGAGAGAGAGAGAGGCAGGCCAAGAAGCTCTCCAAACTATAGTTGCTCACTGCTTTGAAACTTCCGCCACCCGGCTCTGCCGGACCTTACTTGTATGACGGTGGAAGAGTTTCCCTTGAAGTCTGACCATTCACGGAATGACAGCAAGGCGGTGCTGAAACTTGCTCGGTCACAGTGTCAGTTCTAGCAACCACCCGGACATTGGACAAGATTGAGACAGGCCGTTCCAATAAGCGTACAAAGCAAACACCGCCACTAGTCTCCTGTTTCCCCACCTAGCACCTGCCATTCAAGGCAGCATGTCCTTCTCAAGCCCCTTGCCCATCTTCGTACCACTCTAGTAGCACTGACAATACTGTTGTTCAGTCTGCTGTTGGATTCGGGAGCAAATGGGGACAACCAAAAGTTTACAACAGCCACGAGGACCCTCTAATTTTGAGGAAAGCAAGTACAATAGTTGTGAGTCACGTGTTGTGTGTGACCCAAGAAGAGATGCCATGTATCGAGCATCCAGGCATTATTCGCTCATTTCCACTTCTTTTCCCGAGCTTGGGTGTTCTGGAGAGGCAAATTCCTGACTACCAACGGGGGCCTTGGGGAGCTGCTGAACGTCGGCTTCTTCGCCCTTCGCCCGGACAAGCGCCTTTTCCAGGCTGCAGTGCAACTTGGCACGGACAATTTTTGGAGCATCACGAGCGCACCTGAGAGGTCAGAAGAAGACCCGGAAGTGCCAAATTTCACAAAGAAGAGAAGCAAATGGTCTAGATTTGTGGTCTCCTCCTTGCAAAGCTTAATCTCGCATCATGCGAACTTGTGGAGATGCCTCGAGGACTTCGCATAGAGGTATTTGTTGCTGGGCTTGAATGACCCACCCAACAATGGCCGTTGTTGTTTGAGGATATTTTTTTGGCGTTGTTTTCTCGGCAAACCAGCGGAATTATTCGTATTTTGTTTTGGTCCGGTTCCCAAGCTTCTTGAACCAGGAACTTCGCTCTGCACGCGAACTTCTCCATGAACACCAGCTGGGGTGAGATGGGCTGGACGCCTGCGGGTGGATACTTCGTCGGGGGGGAGTGTGGCCAAGGCGCGATGTTCGAGAGTCGGAACCGGTTTCCAGCGCATTCGGGGCCCGATTGCTTCTCCCAAGAATCGCGGATTGATTGGATGACCCAGTTTGGCAATCTGGGCAACCAAAAAGAAGTTGTTCATGTGAAAGGAAGATTCGGCATGGGTGACGGTTACAACCTGCAATGACGTGACGACGATTTGCCCAGAACTGTGGTTGTCAGGGGTTCCTTCTAAGCGGGCGAAGAAACAGTTCTTGGGCTTAGGCTTTCAGAGGCTTACAGGAGTCCGAGGGTAACAGTTGAAAGAGAAAGTCCCTGCGCTGTCCCTGCGCTTGGCATGGCAGTTGAGGTGGTTGACAATGATCGGAGCGATGGTTTTGCAATTTCATTTTGGTTGTTGAGTGAGTTTGCAGCCCAGTGGTTTCAAGCTTTGCCAGCTCTGCTTGGTTGAGTTTTGCTTGCCGAGAGTCCGCGGGACGTGGACGCGTTTTGTTGAATCGCAAACCCGATTTGTTTCATTGTTTTTCGGATTGGCCACCCCTCCATTTCGAACAGCCCAGGTGTTCAGATACGTGTCCCGCTTGCAAGACAGACACCATGTGAGCCTTGGACAATATGAGTCTACTGTAGCTTTAAAGAGGGCGAGTTTTTATTCGGCAGGGGATCCCCGCGGAATTTGGCAGTGGGACTCCGCCACAACTGGTTGTGTGTCTTAAGCGAAGCCCTAAATGGGTGGTTTTCCTTTGGTTTCCTTCAACAACAACCCAACCCAAAGGGTAGCCTCAAGATGGACCCTGGAGTCTTGAAGGCTTTTGGTACGCGCTCTTCTACAAGCTCCTCGGCCAACGCTTTGTTGAGTGAGCAGCTGCCCCCAAGTCCGACTCAAGCTGAATTGGCTCGAAACTGCCCGCTACCTCAACACCTGGCTCTGGTTTGTGCGGGTTGGATCGCCAAGCAAGGTGCTTGAGTCATCCGTCCCCAACTTCCTGAACCCAAGCTGGCCAAATCCTGCTTGGAGTAGACTATCTCAGTCTTGATTTGCACCATTCTCACCGTGCAGTACCCGCAGGCATCCCAGGTCTCTTTGAGGGTACCCGTTTTTGGGCAGTTGTAAACGGAAAGACAAGGGGAAACGGGAGACATAGCTATCCCACCCTGCTCAGTAACCATTAACTCCGAACCCATGGCTCCTTTTCCGCGTGTCCCGCCTCTCCCGAGATTTGGGGGCTCGGCGCAACAAGCGCTCCAGTCTGCGGGCCTCTCCGTGGTAGACTCTGCCCAGCGCCGCGGCTTCTGTCCGATGGGTCCTTATGCGAATTGAAGAGAGCTAACCTTCGGTCCGAGTACCTCAGGGGAGGGGATCCCAAATTGAATCGTTGGATTGAGAGGTGCGGCTCGCCAAGCTGTGCAGGCGCTTTGCGTGATGGGATAGCTTGGGTTGTGCATAAAGTCCAGTGGGGAAAGGTCGGTGAAGAGGTGCACGTAGCCATGCTCGACCTTGTTTGCAGGTGTGCTTTGAAACAGTTTTGGGATTTGCTGCTTTCCCTTCAGCATTCCTGGCACTACCTGGCAGTTGTGTTGGTTTTCCGCATCAGGATTGATCGTTGTATGTGGAACTACCAGACCAGCTTCCAGTGCAACTTGAGCTGCAGTTTGGGCCTTTCCCGGCAAACAGATGCAATCACAGCTCCGCGCGATGGGGCAGGTCTGCCTAAGGGTAAGGGATACAACACCTGAAGGGACAGGATGGCCCGTTGAGTGGCAAGCCTTTCATGTCCAAGTTCTAGAGGCCAAACATGCATCTCGTTGCTTTGCAAATGATTGAACAATGACATGATGGGCTTGTAAAGCTCAATCTTTCGGTTGATGTTCACCCCTGGATGCTGGCTGTGGTTATGCAGAGCATTCATGGCTTGACATGTTCTTCAAGACCCGTGAAACCTACTGCACGGATGTAGAGCTGGTCCAAGGTATCACGTGGCCTTGCAATGTCCTGTTCGTACTATACGATACATAGGGATTCCCGGATGATTATAAGTGTTTGCCCGAGGCAAAGAGCATTTGGACTGCAGCCGTGTGCGCGTCCACCACAAGCCGGCGATCAAAACCGAGTGGAAGGACCGCTTAGTGACAAGCTGCGAACCTTCCCGTGCAGCTGTTTAGGTTTTTGTTTTTGTGGGTACTGTGCCGATGTGCTCGAGGATGCGCAATGGCGCGAGAGCGTACTGTGTTTCTACTCCATGCCGTAAGGTTTCTGTCGGGGTCAAAATGCAGTTCCACGGCGTTTCACACCGGGCTTCACAACGGCTGAGCGTCGCATCTGGCACAGCGACTCAGCCTCGTGCAGCACCACATATGAATGACATTCACGAAACAAGTGATACCGCGACCCATGCTGGCTCATAAAGATTTGCGTGTGTTTCTCTCATACTGCAGGATCTGGGCTTCCCGGCTTAGGTGCATGATCATTCGACCAATGGTGACGTTAGATTTATCCTGAAAACACACTGCCCAATTAGAGGAATTCCCTGAACATCAATTTACCGATTTACCCCTTGTGCATCGTGCTGATCTGAAGTTGAGATGTGTTGAGAAGGCCAGTCCGCGCAGCCCAAGACATGCTATTGCGCTGGCGGCTTTTCATATCCACAAACAAATCTGTTTGCCCCCCCTCCCCAAAGGGACAGAGCAATTGGCGGGCTTTGGGATTGCATGGATGGACTCCGCCGTCGTGCCAGACTAAGTCCGCTCTTTCACCAGAATGAAGGGGCACCCCTGTGACTGGCGATTGTCCATGGACACGCATGGGCAAGGACAGCGTAGACTGAGATGTTGACTGATAGTTGCCCAAGTCCGTTCGCAATCTGCAACTCGAAGCGCCCTGTTCTCGGTTGGAGTCGCTTCCTGCATGATGGTAGTAGCACCAAGTGCAAGAGAGTGGGATGGTCGATTGCTAAGGAGGTCTTCTAGTTCGTTTTTTAGTGGCTGAGGGCGTGGCAAAATGCGTGATGCAAGTCTTTGTGAGCTTGTTGGGTCAACTGAATGCGGAAAACCCAACTTGGCAGAGCACATCAGATGAACGAATTCTGCGCAAGCCACATTGTTTGCAATCACTGGACACATGCGCAAACTACGGATCCAAAGTGCTCAACCTGCGGCGAATACTCTAAGTCCAAGGCCAGGCTACGGCACAGATGGTGACAAGTATTTTAGCAGCGAGGACTTGGAGAAAAGCCAGGAGTTGTTGGAGAAAGCACCAAACGCCGTTTGGCGGTGGCCTTTTCAAGCTTGAGGATTTGTGTTTTTTGTTGGCCGGTGCCTTCGTTTCGCCAAGCCAAAAGGCAAGGGCCGACCGAACTGTGGCCAGGAATGTCAGAAGCTGGAGCCATCCGTGAGGTGCAAACCACAGGGGTTGCCGGGTGTGGGTGTTGCAAGCCAGCTCTTGATTCCTGATCTACGTTATTTGGGGTGCAAAGTTTGCGCCTACTGCGCCGCAAGCCCGCCTCGGCGGCTAGGGCTGAGGAGTGGACTCTTGCCAGGAAACAGCCCAGTTGAATCAGCCCTGGGTGTCACACAGAAAGTTCAAACCGGCCCACAGTTGGAGCAAAACTGACCTGTTTCGAGCGAATGATATTTTTCTTGTCCAAGAACCGCCTGCAGACTCAGACACCCAGCACAGACACTGTGGGACACATGACAGCAACCTGGAGCCGCCCAGCCAGCCAGCCAGCCAGCCAGCCAGACAGCAAGCAAAGACCGCCCAGTTAGATTCGAGCTGGGCTTTCAAAAACAAACTTATTCCTGCTGAAACGCGAAAGCCTAGAAAGCTTGGAGACAACGCCCCCAATCCGAGCACCCAATGCCAATCCCCAGACGCACTACCCAAAGGCTTGGTCCCAACCAGCAAGCTGTCCTTTCTCAATGCCTATGGTGCCCTTCCGGCAGATTGCTGTCAAGGTCAATGCAAGGCAGCAAGGGAACCCAGGCAGCCAATTGCACGCATGGACTGTCGCTGGGATGGAAGGCTCGGGGCCAACGGGGAGGGAGGAGAGGAGAAGGAAATTCGCTCAAGCACTGACGACTGGCTCTGAATGGGATGCCCATTCATTGTCGCGCGCGACCGATTGGCTGCGCCAGGTCGATTGATAATTACGCGAACTTCAGCGCGTGGCCTCTTCACGTGCCTGCAGCAAGCGAGCAACACGCACGTGACCTAATTATATACTCCCGACTGAGAAATAGGAACAAAGTCGGGCTTTGAAAGCAGAGACAGGGCCACAGTTGTGAGCGACAAATACGAGTGTACAGACCATCCATGCTACTTGTGCCACACGTATATTCGAGCCGCGTTGTCTTCATGGCACACTGGTAGGATGGAATTCGGTGTCTGTGGTCAGGCGTTTCAGAAGTTTCGTGATGTTTGCACGGTGGCGTAACAATCATTGAAGCACACCGTTTGTCGTGTATTCCGGGCCCATTTGTGTGAGGTTGTCCCTTATGTCGTTATAGAAAGCCCTTTTTGCAATTGCTTCCAACAGTGAGCCAAATGGAAGCCGATCATTTGGAAGGGCGATGTTTGTTCTCGCCCGGAGGTAACACCAGATCCCTGGTGTGCGCTGGCAACCATTGGCATGCTCGCCAATCGGAAAAAGCAAGGTTGGCAGCTTCCAAGATGAATCAAGCATTGTAAAGAAACAAGTCGCCTTGAGATTAGACATTGCAACGCGCTTGTTTAGAGGTGTTTACCACGTGATTTGTGGGCTGTTGATACCTGATAGCTAATGCACTGCAAGGGTGCCATTTTCATGGCATCGAGTGAACTCCAACATGTAGTGTGTTTTCACATCCAGAACGATTTGCATCGTTTCCTGTGAATTGGCCTTGAATTTTCATGTCAGAACTTGTGTATCATGTTGTGTTGTTTCGTTGCCTGCACGCGAGTATTGGGCTCAAGACAAATCACATAACACTTCCTCGCTAATAGGAGAAACAACATACTGGATGTAATCGTTTGGAATCATCTTGACAGAAAGTGATTGCAAGTTAGGTGGAAGTCAACTCACGCAGACAACATACTTTGATATTGGCATTTTACATGCGACTGCATATGGCCGATGGCAACAGGTCACATCCAGGCAGGCAACGGCGTGCGAGCTGCAGAATTTGTCATGATGCAACAACAAGTTCAGGGTGACATGCGAACAGCACGGTGTTTGCAACAATTTGCAAATGTGCTCGCTTATGGCAGCTTCAAATAGTTTCTTGCTTGCTTCCGACCAGTTCGTATACAAAGTCTTCCCTTTGCATGAAGTCTGTACTGCTGTAGCGTCCCGCAATCAGTTTGACTGACTGCGCACGCCCTGCTGGCTCGTTCTAGGGGTAAATGAAAACCGCAAGACCACAGGTCCCCCATATCCGTGGCCAACTCAGAGATACACCCAGCATTGGGTTGGGCGTGCAGGCCGCTGATGAGCATTTCCGACAAGGAACGGAAGGTGGACTCGAGCATGGTGCCATGCCCTTAGTGAATGGAGCAAAACCATATTGGTGCTACATTTTGTTCTCACCATAGTGGTTCTACCTAGCTTGCACAGCTTTTTTTACGCCCACATTCGCCAGTGTTCATGTCAGCAACATCATTCAGCATTCCTCTTGCGGAAGTAAATGTATGAGTGGCGCGCACAGGTTGGAAGATTGGTCGAAATCCACGCCCAAGATAGGGGGTCAGAAGGCACTGCAGGAGTTGCAGGAGCGCCTGAAAACACAGAGTCTTTGCAAAGCATGCAATCACCTGAGTCACCTGAGTCACCTGAGTCACCTGAATCACCTGACTGCCGGCCGCGTCGGGTTGCGGTATTTGCCTGAAGCTGCAAGGACTCCTGGGCTTACCTCGCGCCGGGATCTTGACAGCCGCTGGCCGTTTTCATCTTTTGCGGTTCCAACGCGAGGTCCCTGGTTGATGCTGGCAAAGGCGCACCACTTGCAATTGAAGGGCGGAATTTGACGTGCAACGTGACAACTACTTTGGTAGGTGCAACAGCTGACAAAGTTGATGCGGCAGCTGATAGAAGTGCTGCAAAGGTTGACAAAGCTGATGAAGGATCTGTGATTTGGGCGTTGATGCTGCGTTATTTGCTCTGCGCATAGCCAGGACAAGAGGACTCCTATGAATCAAGCGAGTCAGAAAAGGCTTTGCCGCTCAGCTTTTGCATCACATGGTGGGATTCTCCCATAGCTTTGCACGTCACAGCTGGAGTCCTGGAGGCCTCGGACGATGGCAACGTGGATGTCAAAGCGGCAATTAGTCATCCGTCTACAACTCATGAACAGATGAGGGATAAGCAGGAGAAGGGGGATGCGAAGGACGACGAGGATGATGAGGAAGAAGAAAGCGAGGAAGAGGAGGAGGCAGAGGAGGAAGAGAAGGAGGACCAAGAGGAAGAAGAAGAGGAGGATGCAGAGGAGGAGGAGGCAGAAGAGGAGGAGGAGCAAAAGGAAAAAGAGGAGGAAAGCTCCGACGAGTCAGTCGAGTCAGAGCAGGAAGCAAAGAAGGACATTTGCCATGTTAATGAGTTGAGATGCACGCACGGCTTTGTGGAGACGTTTTGACAGACTTTTGCCCTGGACTTGCGTACTCCCCTGGACGTCTGGAGTTTCATTTTGTCCTGTCATTTAATTGGTAGACTTTAGCATGGTGACTGTCACAGCCAAGGGTCCACAGTTCTAGCCCTATGGTCAGGTCCGCATGGTGGAAGGACCAAATTGGCAAGGCCAAGATTCTCACGTGCAACCTTTTTTCGTATCTTGCCAATCTGAGGAGAAAAATCATGTTCGACTGGTATCAGCAGCAGACCGGCAGCGCTCACGATCCCGGTCTCGTTCTAGAAGAGAAGCAAAGAAGGAGAGGTTTGGCAAGGGCAGCTGTCATTCACTTTTCATGTCTCCCCATTGTCCCTGAGGAGCGAAGCCGTTCCAAGAAGCGGCAGGAAGGGCGCTCCTGAGTTGCCATGTGGCCAGCATGCTTCCTGGCTTGCAAGGAGAGGCTAAGCCGGAAAGCCAGGCCTTGGTCACGGCAGCAGACACATACAGGGATGCAGAGAGACGGAGAGAAAGAGAGAGAGAGAGAGAGAGAGCGAGCGAGCGAGCGAGCGGGAAAGAAAAAGAGAGAGAACACCAGAAAGGGAAACAGCGAGAACGAGAGACAGTGAGAAAAGAGAAAGAATGAAAGAGTGAAAGAGAGAAAGAAGAAGGAGAGAAAGCGAGAAAGACAGACGTTGAGAAAGAGAAAAAGCTAGAAAGAGAAAGAGAGCGAGAAAAAGCGAGAAAGCGAGACAGAGAGAAAGAGAGAAAGACAGAGCGACAGCGCGCATGACAGAGAGACAGAGAGAGAGAGAGAGAGAGAGACAGAGAGAGTCAGAGAGACAGAGAGACAGAGACAGAAGGATTGGCAAGGGCCCGCGTGCCATGCCTGCCAGGTCATCCAGTTCCAGCCACAAGCGGTCTCGTCCTAAGCTTGCTCGGAGGCATGCGACGTAAGCACCCTGTATTTGCTTGAGCTTGTTGAGCCGCCCTAGGCGCAGCCGCAAAAAGAGCCGTACTCCAAGCAGGAAGCGGCGCGGCAACAACTGGAAGGCGAGGTTCAGTCATGTAACCGCGTGGCCAATGTGGCGAATATCGCTCGCTCCCACTTGGGGCCAACCAAGGGGCAGCAGCATATTGTTTGTTTCTATTTAGCATTTTTTTCTTTTGGCTGGCATGCTGCTGCCAATTGCAGCTGCGAGCGTGACAGCCTGCCAAAGGCTGCTGCGCTGTTTTGCTAGCGTGGGTCGATCATCATGAGACCCGGCGAGCCACTTATTCTAAAACCAATGCTTGGACCCACACATCTCAGTTGTGACAAGCATGATTGATTTGGAGGGGGACAAGTTTGACAAAGGTATGCGTCGGTTGCCTGGAGGTATTTCAAGCTTGTATTTTGGCAAAAGAGGAGGGGAACACTGCGGCAAGACCATGCGATTTCTTCAGAATTCAGAACGATCAAACGGAACCACAACTCTCAAACGACGGGAGGACGAGAAGAACAAACACTCGCGTACCGCTTCAGCAATTCCACCGACAGACCAAGGGAGGAAGATTGCAGAAAGGCTTTTTCAACATTTGGGACAGCATGACGGCATTAGAGCCCAATAGTAAGAACCCTGAATGCGTGTGTGGGCGCCTCTGAGAGGTCTGCTCAGCCCAGGAATATGTCTATTCCTCTTGACAGAGCTTTTGGGTATCGCGTTCTCTGCTTCAGCCGCAAATTAAATATCTATTGCACAGGCAAAAAACAACGCTCAAAAAGCGGGGCTGGAACCCATGCAAGCGCGCAGGGCCTCTATAGAACTTCAAAGAGAAGCCTCCTGAAGCTCCTATGGAAGATGTTCAGTCGAATGAGGTTCCGCGCACGAATTATCTAACAAACAACTTGACTACTGTGTGTGTGAATTCCTGGACAAGATCTCTGTGGCAGGATCTTTGCAAGATCTTTGGGTGGGGTCTCTTGAATGGATCTCTTGGCAAGATCTGCGCGCAGGTCCGAGAGAACCCGGTACAAGGTCTCTCTTCAGCATCTGTAAAGGGCGTCCTCTACAATTACAAGATGTCTTGGCATGAAACCTTGGCAAGTCCTGCAAGATGTGTTGTGGATCTCTATGCCGGACCAGCGCAAGACATTAGTGGAGGATGTTTGCAGGATGTCTGCGCACGATCTCTGGATAGGATCTCTTTATTGGATGCCCTCTACAAGCATTCTGTTGAAGATCTGTGGGAGCACCCTCTACCAGATCCCTCGCAAGCAAATTTTTGCGGGTCCCGCGCAAGACCGCCACCTTCTTAAAATATGTGCGGGAGGCGGCTTCTTGAAAGGAAGTCTCTGCAGGTCCGCAACACCTCTAGAGATCCAGGATCTTTGCGCAAGATCTCTTGAAGGATCTCTTGGCAAGCTCTGTCCTGATGTCTTGACAGGATCCCTTGGTGGGATCTCTTGGCAAGATTTGTGCCCGGACTTTTTGAAACGGTCTGCGCGAGACCTCTTGAAAAAATCTTCTCTACGAAGGACAAGCGCAAAAATATCTATGGAAATATCTTCACTTGCAGGATCTCTGTGCAAGATGTCTGGGTAGGGGCTCCTGGCAAGATTTGTCCACGGAACCCATGAAAGGATCATTTTCTGCACAAGGTTTCTTTACAAACCTATTTGCAAGATGCTTGCACAAGATCTAGATGTCAGGATCCCAGCAACATCTCGTTTCGAGAGCGCTGGTCTACTTCTCACGATCGAAATTCATACCGGGCCAAAGCGAGAGCGATATGAGCCACCCGAAGTCCGCAGAGGGTACTTTATATATTCACCACGACCAGATGTCCAAATTGGGCGCCTCACACATCTCACCAACTTTTGAAGCAGAAGACAAGGGAGCGAGAACATGATAGTCAAGCCGGAAAAAGAAAGGACGCGGCCAGAGAAAAGGACAGCCGCACATTTTAGTGAAGGAATCTGATTTGCGTAAAGGAAGCACAGACCTTTCGAATCTTACTTATCATCGTAATTGACTAAGTTCATAGTGTGATATTGCTCAACTAAGTCAATTGTCCTTCTCCAAATTGGTTTTTTATTTTATCACATTTTGTACTTTCGCTTCTTTGCCCTCCCCTGCTGTTCTCGCAGGGGGTTGGAGAGGGGTGTTCCATGTTCAGTGCTCCTGTGGCGTGTCAACTTTCCACGAACCAAAGTTTCAACAGTTTAGTGAATGACTGAGACCGCAAACCGGCTGAAAGCTCAGTGCAATGGGGGTCATCCAACCTGTTTGGGAAGGCACTTGCGCGTGAGCCACACTCGCGTCTGCCAAGCAAACATGATCACGAGAAAGCCATTATATGTTCAACCCTATCTTTAACAGCTTGCAGGAAAATGCCTCAGCATGAGCAAGCCGCACGTTTGAGCCGCAACAAACGCCATACATTGTGGGGCGGGGCACCAGTGAAGCCAACATAACATGGTCCACAAAATATCATCACAGGCGAACGATACCCAAAGGTCATGGCCGTGTCGCAGGAGCGCCGACGCAGTTCCAGCTCGCGAGCGCGGAAGGACTTGGAGCTCGCATTCCAAGCTTTTGACTCGTTTTCTTGGGGCGTGCTCACAGAGAGCCAAGAGCTTGTGAAAACGGACAAGGGCAAAACCGCAGTCCTGAAAGGGAGCAACCCCCTGCCCCGATTGATACACGAGATTCAAGGACTGCTCATTGCGTTCTACTAGACACATGAGGACCAGAAGAGAAAGCGAAGTCCTAGCCGGAGCAAGCGCAGAAGTCCGAGAAAAAGTGACGTGAGAGGCAAAGAATCAGCAGCCTAAACCAGATCAGCAGACAAAACCAGCGCTGCTGTTCCTCAATCGCAATCTTGCCAGGCACAAAGCCAACTCTCCCACCGCCTCGCAGGAGGACCGTGGTGCGATGTGGCAGCACATGCGCAATCAGACTTCAGCGGAGAAGCTGCTTGAGCCATGGCAGGAGCCCTTCCCCTTTGCGCCGAAAGACACAGGTGGCATCTTGCAAGCCAGAGTAGCAAGTGGGATATGTGCGACTTTCATGGCACAGGAGGACAAGGGCAAGGCTGAATGCTCAGTTTTGGGCCCAATGCGCAAGGTTGCTCGGCGTGCGAGGCATGGAGGTTTTGAGCAGCTCTCCCCCCAAGCAACCTGAACCGAGCCAGTGCACCACAATGTGTCCAAGGCCGAAAGAGTTCCGCCCCCGGCCATTGCACAGTCTGCCTGCCATGAACAGCAGTCAGTCGCTTCCTGCCTGGCCCTACCTTGTTAGGCTTGTACTCTAAAGTGAAAGTCCTTCAAATGGATGGTATGCCGAGGACGCGGAGAAGTCCGCAAAAGAGAGCGCGAGTGAGGCTTGGGGCGGGAGAAGGCAGGGGAGAGGTGCTTTGCTCTGTGAGTCGTGAGGCCTTGCTGAGGGGCCCGAAGCCTCCAGCGAAGCCTCAAACAAAGCCTCAAGCATCTCCCGCGCAAATGCCGCAGCAGACGCAGCCGACCCAGCCCAAAGCTTCCCTGGGCTTGCCCAAGAAGCCGCAGGCACAGAAGCAGTTGACATTCGACCAACAGCTTGTTGTTCGAATGCAGCTGGATGGTTGAGCCAATGCCATGGTCTCCACAGTCAAGTTGGATAAGCTTGATGTCGAACGGGGCGTCAGTACGCGAGTACACACTTCCCGCAACCGTGCCAGGTGTTGGATTGGAGGAGGCGCTCCTCCGCAGAGGCCAAGCCTGCCGCGCAGGCGGCGTCCATCCGTCGTGGCTTCTGTGAAGAGAAAGCTTATGGGTCAGGACCCCCGCGCTGCTGCTCGGGGCTCAGTCTCCTCTCCGGTGTTTTTTAGCAAGGGGCGTATTGATTGCTACACTGCGACGTGCAGGCAGAGCAAAGCCAGGGGAGTGACCAGTCAAAGAGCCTCCAAGTTGTGTTAAGGACATGTTCTCAACCAGACTCTTGCCATGACAGGTTCCCGGCTACGAGTTTGCTTTGCGTGCTCATGCAGGTGGGTTGCGTATGACTTCACTTGAGGCTTTGCGTAACTCTGAGCCCTTTTGATACCAGGGCAGCTGGCTGCTGCTCTTGCAGCGGCACAAGCACTGCACAACCCAGGCAATCGCGAGGCGGGGCATCGGCTTCTTGAGCAACAGATGCTCCACAGCTGAGATGCAGGTCTCAAGGAAGATTGCAGCTCTTTTGGAGCATCGGTCTTAGACATCACAGACCAAGCTTGAGAGAGTGCCAGCGCACAGTCAAACTGCTGTTGGGATCAAACATGGAGGATGTGTGCAGTTGAAAGCTGGTGACGAGCGATGCTTTGAACAGAGCTGTACGAACAACCCAATTAGGGTGTGTCACTCTTAGGTGCTGAACAGACCGCATTGATTGTACTTGTGAGATGGGCCATAAAATGTTTTCTCTCATAGTTTTGGCAATGGGCCATGCAACTTCTGTCAACGCTCACTGTTTTGCATTGTCGTGTGCCGTGTGTTGCCATTAGCAACATATCAACATGTGAGGCAATGTCCGGCAATCACAGATGATGCAATGGCCTTATCTTGCAGATCAGGTAGGTCTCTGCCAGAGAGGCTGTGCCGAGAAGACACTGAAGCGTACCGAGTGCACGACCGAAGGCATTGACGGCTCTTCGCACGCTGCCATCGGATCAGGCAGGACTGGTAAAACATGCAGTAATGTGGATGAACGATGGTGAGAGACGAAAGAATGGCCAGCGCTGCCACTTGTTGAGCAATAGCTTGCCTGCAGGTGATTCAGGTGTTGACTACTCTTGTGAGCAGGCGGGGAAGAATTTTCCCATGAAAGCGATGAGAGTGGAAAGACGTGTTCAGGAGAATGGACATCATTGATGCTTCCACGTGGGCCCACTGCCAAGTTCTAAACATACACCTCACAGTCTGAAATGCCGCGCTGGCCCCCCGACACGTAGGCGGCTCGTTTGCACTTCGAGCCGCCTTGAGGTCCTGCACGTGGTGAATGGCCTCTCCAGCTCTGCCTTCAGCACGGCCCAGGCAACCAAGCGCACGAGCATCCAACGCACACGCACGAAGCGCGAGTTGCGGACACATTAAGCACTGAGCGCAGCCAGGGCGGGCAGCCGCAGTCCCAAGTCGTGAAAGAGATGGTGGACAGGCCTGCGTTTGTGAAAGGTGTATGGAAGTAGCGCTTTTGCAGTTATCAGTTTTGTGCTGAATTCGATGCCAGGCACTATCCAAATCTAGCCAATGCCTCCAGATCCTTACTCCTGCAGATCGCAGAGGCTCCTTGCCATGTGCAGAGTGTCACAAGCACCAGTCGAGGTGTTGTTTTCTTCAATGCCCCCCTCGAGAACGGCTTGAGGAGAACTACAATCAAGTACGTAAAAGACAATGGAGTCCCATGACTTTAATTCTCGCATGTTACCGCTGCCTCGCTAGGCGGACGCAATCCAAATCATTCAAGCTCACATGTGCTACAGCCGCATGCGCAGTTGCAGACTGCCAGTGCAGCATCGGTTACTCTCTTGAAGAGTGCAATGCGGCAAAGTCATGCAGACTTGCCGACAGTCTGGACATGCTGCTTCGATTTGGTGCCTTGCCGAGGCGGAGACCCATCGGACTCCATCTTTCAAGCGGCCACGCTTCACATGCAAGGCTCGGTGTTTTGATCCGGCACCATTGGCACCTTTGGCGCCCGTACCCTGCCTTTAACATGAGTCAATGAGGTGCTGCGGGAGCTTGCAACATGATGTGCAACATGGGGATGGATGCCTTCATGATGAGTGGCATGGGCTGCGGCATGATGGGCGTCCGGCACTCAGTTCCCACACGTTGGTATCTACGGTACGCTCCCTTAGTGAGTCAGCCGTTTGCTGAGCTGATCACGTTCGTTACATGCTGCTTGGCTAAGATGATGTCTGGCTGCTTCGGTCGTGTGCTCAGATTTGTAAGACTGAGTGCAGAGAGCTCAGAGCTCTGTACAGGTGGCATGATGCCTGGGCAGATGATGGGAATGGGAGGAGCACCTTTGCGAGCATCACACTTTGTAGGCGGAAAGAAACATGAAAGACGCGTGGAGGATGCGGTGGGATGGGCTGCTGCGGAGGCCTTCCTTGGTGCGCATAGGGTCTTTTCGGTCCATGTTCTGCCGAGGCTGCGAGAACACCGGCAGCGAGGCCGCCATAACCGACGCTGGTGCAGGTGGTGCAGCTGGTGCAGGCGGCGCAGGTGGCACAGGTGCCGCGCCTGCTTCCCCAGCTGAGCCTGAAGCAGAGAGTCCCACTCTGCCTGCTGCTTGGTGGATATTGGCACGTTGACATGCAAGGCACGTTGACATGCAAGGCATGAACCATGCAACCAGTAGCAGTCTCAACCCAAGTTGCAGGCTTCAAGGATGCATCGGGAGTCTCCAATATCCCTCCAAGAAATTGGGGTGATGTGCCCATAACTTAAAGGCACCAGGAGCCACAACAACCGATGAAAATGCTATACCGACCAAAGACACACAGCTTTTTGAAAACACCATGCTTTCAGAGAATCAAGACAAAGCACAATGTTTTTGTCAGGGTACGGCATTTTTTCAGGTTCTTGAAGCCCTAGGTACATTATTCATTTTACAGAGGCTGTTTACCCTCTACAAGAACGAGGGGGTCAAATCGACACCACCAAATAAGGTTTGCCTGATGGTGTGTGTTTTCCTCTTCTTAAAGGAAGGGGGGGGAGAAGGGGGAAGGGGGGCGGGGGGTTTGGGTGGGTTTGAAGGGGTCCTCGGAAACAAGAAGGCATCGCCCATTTGGTTCAGACCCCCGGAAAAAATACACCAGCATAGACCCCAGATAGCACCTCAAGCAACACCATCCCAAAACAGCACCTGCGCAAAAATCCCCAAACAGCAGCCCCCAGCATCTTGCTGTAATCTCGCAAAACCACACCTGGCCGTCACCAAGCCCCCCAAAATCAGCACTTGCACCAGCGCCCCAAGCTGCATGCCCCTTCGCGTCCCGCCGTCAATCTGGCAAATACGCGCCCGCGACCCCAGCCCCCCAAAACAGCCCCCTCAGCACCCCAAACTGACCCTGAACAGTGCCCCCCAACAGCACTCCCAGAGCACCTGGTCGCACCATCGCCAGCATCTGGCAACACGGCACCTCAAACCAAGTCCCCAGTGATTGCTTTTTCTCCACATGGTCCATGATCAAGTTCGGCTAGGGTGTTGAGGGGAAACGAGCACCACCGCAATTTTGTCTTGATGGTCAACAGCTGAGGAGAACCCATTTGTCATGCCACCTGGCATTGAGCTGGCGTCGGAGAACGAGGTGCGCACGCAGAGCGACCCGTTGCAGCTGCATTAGCATCCCATCTCAACTCAAACGATGCAAGGAGCTCCTAGATCAGCTGCGGTCCTGGTCTCTCTCGGACAAGGCCTTCCAGGAAATCATCAAGCTTCCAACCTCGGAGGCCGGAGTTGAACCGAGTTGAACCTGGGGAATGAGGACAGCATTCTGGACTTAGGTTAAACTGATTCTGGAGAAGCTTCCCAATGAGGGCCAACCCCCCTCAGCGCATCTGGGCTGGATTGGCAAGCTGGGCGGGTGCACAGTATAGGCTTTTGTCTCAGGTACTTGCTGCGGTCGGCGGCACATTTCTGGGCTGAGGGCCCACGAGTGCCTCTAGTATCCAAGAGCAACGCAGATGAAGAACCTGAGTCTCCAGACGCAGAAGGGCTGAGAAGGCTGAATGCCACACGGAATCATGTGCCTAAACCAACGGTTCCCCCCGAAAGCACACCACTGCCATCATGAGTTGCCGGATTTGTGCTATTTGTGCCATCGTCCAAGTGTTGACACACCGCAGGGCCGAGGATGAGGACCATGTGTCCGAGCCCACCGTGCCGGAGGAACTGCCCTGCTCGCTTTGGGGCGTGGCCCCACTGTCCAAGGTGCCTATGCCAGCTTTGTTTTTCACTTTTACCAGCTCCCATCCTTACAGTCTTTGGCCTGCATTTGAGACATTTGAGTGCTCTTTGACAGTCAGCGCAACTTTCGAGGCAGATGTCCTGCGGCAAGAGGCTCCAGAACCTGTTCTTCCTGGCGTTAACTCTGGAGGCGCGCATCGCATGTGGCACCGGCGTGAGGCGAGAGAATGTGAGCGAAGCGAGGCTTCATGTCATGGACAGCGGCGGCCACTTCCAGAGGCAGAGAGGCCTCCAAAGACTCCATAGCGAAGTCAGTTGTGCCTGAGCTTTGCAGGCCTGAGGGCCTGAGCAGTGAGTGGGCCTGGAGAGCCGTAGCTCAGAGGCGTCCAAAGATACTTTCTTCACTGCTCCGGACAGAGCATGATCAGACACCATCAAACAACGGTTCAATCAGGGAGAAAATCAGTGCAGGTAGTTTTTGGGTTGGATTTGAAGGATCCGAGCCTGCCTGAGAGCTGCTGAGGAAACAAAATGTTGGGGCGTCGCGTGCAATTGGAGACCCTCGGCCGCGGTTTTCGCTTTTGCCCTGCATTCATCCGACAGCATGTCTGATCCACGTTGCGCAAGCGCAGGGGCCGGCCTTGCAAGCCTTTCCAGCTCCAGAGCTCTAAGTTGTCCTAAACCCCTAGGCTGCTTAGGATTAGCTATGGTGCGCCGTTTTTTCACCCTCGTCGCGGGGGCTGTGGTCACCTGGGCTGCCTGCGACGAGAACAATTGCGAAGACCTCACAGAACTGGTGCAGGCGAACGCATTCGATGTTTTCGCGGCTGTAGCGAGATCTAGGGTCAAACGAGAACGAGCGAAGGCCATGATGTAGGTCCTATACTTTCGATCCGAATCGTATTGCAGACTTGCCAGAATTCTGTAATCTGCAGATTTATTGGTCTGGAGTGGTTTGGGAAAGCCCGTTGCTTCTAGGGAATGCTCACTTAAAGACAAGAGATATAATGTGCTACTTGTTTGCAGTCTAAGAAGCCAGCCACAGGAAATTACACAGGAAGTTCTCGTTTAGCCCGCAGACATGCTTGTATGGTTTCTATGATGCACTTTAAGGGCCATGAGTTCCACAGCCCTAAGAAGACCAAATGCTCGGCTTCGCTCGAGAGGTGGGCATCAAGAACGCCCAGACGCCGAACGCCAAGGCCACGGTGACCAACTTGAAGCTTTGGACGCGAGTCATTTGCCCACCATGGCTTCCCTTTTGCACCCCAACCAGGGGTTCCAAATCCCAACCAGTGGCAGTTTAGGTTCTCCTTTGTCCTTTGTCCTTTCAACTACACCCCAAACAGGGTAGCCCCCGAATCACTGAGGAATTTAGGGCGGTCCATTTGGAGGCTTATCAAAATGGATTTCGAACCCCTGTTGGTTGGTATTTAAATGCCATTTTAGACCGATCTGACTTGCTTGATGATTTTGACGTTCCGCTCTAAGCGGAGAGGAAGGGCCAAATTCCAGAAATCGGACTCCGGCAAATAGGTCTAAACTACCCTTGAGCATAGGACAAAGACAATGTTTTTTGGCACAGGGTTTCGCGTCTGTCTCTCAAATATAAGTTTCTGTGCACCCATTTTCTGTTTGGAGTCGAGAGCCCCTCTTTTTGGGCCCCAAGGATACATTTGAGCAAGTAAAACAATCACCGGCTGGGGTTTCTCATCAGGTTTTACATGAGCTCACCGAATTCCAGTTATGTTTAACACCGGTTGCCGCCTTCTCAGGTGGAGCTCGCGGTGGTTTCACAAGTCTGTCACAAGCTTAACTCGAAACTGGCTTCGGCTTTCTCTTTGCTTTCCGGTTCAAACACATGTCATCACAGAATCTGGTCGTTCGGGTTTCCCACCACAAAGAATCGGTTGTTCTGGGCCTCAGGGGGAGAAAGTAAAACTCTAGTTTTGTCGACATGTTTGTTCCGTGTCTTGGCGCCGCCAAACAAAAATGGGGATGTATCTTTTGCATAACCCTGATTCAGGGGGTATGTTCAGAAAGATGTGACAGATTTCCCATTCCTTCCGGGAATCCGTCTTCAGAATTTCACACACACACACACACGCACCGAGGAAGACGTTAGAAAGTCGTAAACAAGAAAGGACATTTGCGAGTGTTCAAAACTTGGACACTCCCAAGAATGGTTGGTGCAGCGTAAACTTCAACACACGCGCCGACCCAGAAATCTATCTCTTTGGCTTGAACACACCATTCATGCCAAACATTCAAAACACAAACTCCAAACCGCCCAACAGAAATGCAATATCGGGGCGCTTTCGGCTACCCAAAGGATGAAGTCTAGTTGGGTGGCTCTAGATCGGGGAACTGCGCAGATGATGCGCTTTGATATGCCTGGCCTGGTGACAGAAACCAGCCCCCGGAAATGCTGCAAGACATCTGCCAAGTAGCAGTTCTCGGGCCCCCCTCAATGGGCCCTTGTTACGGTTTTCTATTTTACATTTTTCACCACCAAACCACGACGCCAGTTTCAACGGAGGTCTCCATGCACCGGTGGAACCCCTAGTAAAAAATGATCAACCCAAGGGGAACTCCAGTGACCCCCCTCTCAAATGTGTGGTTTGGAGGTGTGTTGATATAGGGGTGTCCCAGAGCTATGGCAGGAATCGGAATGCAAGATCTTCGCGCTGTGGGAGTACGAAACAGGGCCGCCTCTATCGGTGGCCTTGAACGTGGAAGGCGGGGCGCGCAGGACTCGGACGCCTTGCCCGAAGTGAAGCGACCGGATTTGACCTTTTTGGTTTGCCCTTTTTGGCAACCATGCGTGGCCCCAAAAGGTTCACCTGCTATTTCTGGGTGCTTTGGCAAGCCGCCGGTGGGAACTTGGGGTTTCCAGCTCATACTCCCAAATTGCTCACTTTCCGTCTTTTCCGACAGTCATGGAAGTCGACAAGGGATTTGAAATACTGCCATCCTTTTGAAGGAGACCATTGTTGGAAAATCGGTGGCCGACCACCAGCGCAAATATAGAAGCGCCAGAATCCCTTTGGAAGACTTGGGGGAACCTTGTGGCCAGCTCCAAGCTTCATTGGAAACGGGGCTCGAGCACGACGCCCAGAGCGCTCTTCTCCATTTGTCTGTCCTTTCGGCATCCTGTGGCTTGTGCCGTTGTGGTTGGCCTCTCGCGCCATGGCTTCAGCCGTCCGCCGGTGGCCTTACGGCCGGCGCTGCTCAGGTGACAATTTTGGAGTTAGATGCTCGCGTTTTGGTTGCTGGTGGTGCATTGCGGAGTTCATAGGATGACTTGTTGGGGCGAGAAAACCCCTGAAGCCGCAATTTGGCCGGAGTATAGGGTCATTGTGAGGTACAGCTTCCTTGCAGGGCGCGGGGCAACTTGTGTGTTTTTTGGTCAGGGCCTGTTAACCAGGGTCAATCCTAGCATCAGGGGTCAGTTATTTTGGAGCATCACTTTTCCTGCAGAGAAGCGAGTTGCGGGGGGAACGCTTTGTTTGTCTCAGCATCGGGGTGGTTAATACCAGGCCCCCATCACTCGCAGAACCCCCCCCAATAAGAAATACGGGTTTATCAGGTGGTCCCAGCCCCAAGCTTCTGCGGGGACAACGTCAGGCAAACTCTGCTTCTGGTGATTGCCCAAGTGTCATGGATCACATGTGTGTCAGGCTCAGGGGCGCCGGATGTTTGGCACAGGTTGTCGAGGGGCCCATTGGCTGCCACTGGGGTGGTGTCTTTTGTTGCTTCCCTTAAATCGAAACCGACAAGGGCATCCAAAGAAGACGTGTCCGTAAAGGCTTGTCTCAAAATGCCATATTACCCCTGGCCAAAAAAGTTCAAAGAAGCACACGTCCGTGTGGGATCCCAAGTGACCGCATGTTTCAACGCAACTTGTTGGGTTCTATAGGTTTTGAATAGGTGTGTTTTAGTCGGACTATCTGCCAGTTGAAAGCGGGCCAACGCGCACGTCGCCCTGAGGTGATGCAGGCCAAGAAGTCGAAGTCGTTGCTGGAGAAGCTGCGTGCCAAGTTGCCCAAGCCCCCCAGCAAGGAGGACACTCTATCAGTTAATTCCATCCTGTTCAGACTCAACCGACCGTTTGTTGTCTTGCTTGTCAACTATATACTGGACAGTTTTTCGTCAAGTTGTTGCAGGGGGCAGTCTGGCCAAGTCCTGGGCTTATAATTAGGTTCAATCATCACCTTGCCAGTTTGTCATGATGCTCCTAGTGGAATGCAAAGAGACCTAGAAACTTCCTGTTGATACGTATCACCGCCATATCACCCATACGCCGGAGAACCTCCAGAAACCATACACTGGAGGAATGTGCCTGCAACAGAGGAGTCGGGGCTTCCTCTGGACGCGTTGTCAATTTGAAACTCCTGAAATTTCAGCTTGCCAAATGGAATCACGGGAGGACTTTCGGATGGGTTGGTGTGGATTGGTTTGGCTTGGATTTGAGAGGGTTTTCTCCACTCCACAGGGTCAGCTGCATACTGTGGGTGGTTGCGAAACCGCTTCTCGCACCACGAAAGGAAACAGCGGTTGAAACCATAGCGTTGGTTGGTATTTATAGTAGGGGAACCATCATTTCAGGGATTCTGAACGGTGGTGCAGGATTTCGCCCATGCACAGCATGGTTGTCTGAACCGGTTCAGGTAAAGCGGATGGTTTGGTGGTTTGGATTGGTTTGGGTTGGATTTGAGCCGCTGGTTGCGGAGGGTAACTGGGAAACTGCCCCAGGAGCACCTACCTTCAAGTCACCAATGCAAAAACCACGATTCCAAATTGGAAGGAACTGCGCATGTGTCATGGCCCCTGATCTCTCTAATGGCGTTGGCCAACTAGGGCCTTGACTGATTTTGGTCATTGGTTTAACATTTCTTAGGGTTGAGGGCAGCAAGATCCCCTTGTGGGGGTGTAGCAACTGGAAGTTGCTGCGGTGAATCTGACAGAGGGTGCGTATACTATTATATATACCTCTTTGGCCTGGTTGTAGCGTGTGCAGATTGTATAGCGTATCCGTTTCGTATAGGGGTAGGGGGCATGAAAACCACTTGCTGTTCGCTGTCATGTTCTCAAGAGGTCGCGCAACCCGCAGAATGATATATTGTGGATGTGTCATATGCATGGACATCAAATGGTGGACCATGCGGATGTAGCCGCACGAAACCGGGTGTTTCTCAGATGTAGACCCCCCCCTCCTCAAGGTGATCCTTTTGTTTCTGGTTCTTGGGGCACTGGACCTTCACTTGGAGTGTTTCTGAAAGGAATTGGTCCCCTAAAAAGCATTGTTTCCTTTTGGTTTCCCTTTGAATGACAACCAAAGGGGGGTCCACCACTTTTTTGCAACACAAAACAGCAAAGCTGTGCCTCTTCTTTACACATCTGGTTTGGGCCAAATCAGCTTCGCAAGCGTCTTTGCCCTGTCAACAACCACCATTCAAATAATGGGGGTTAGTACAACCACCGTCATCATTTACCCAAGGATTTTCATCATGCAAATTGGGGGGTTGAACCCCGGGCCCCGTGGGTTGCATTTTGTCGCTCCGGACGGATTTTCCGGGCCAAGGGGCGGACGCCGGATTCAAACGATTCCAGGAGAACCGCACAGCGGCCGCAGAGCTGGGGGGCGGCAAGGGCCAGAACGCCGCAAAGGCCGGGCGGTTCGGAGCCGGAAACGTCGCATGCCGTCGGAAGACGTCGGTTTTGCTTTACTTTCTGCCCTGGTTGGTGAAACTTACTCATTCCGGATTGAGTCCGACTGGCCCCAGTTCCTGCTTGTTTGAGCCATGTTGGGGCTGCATATCAGTTGTAAATCCCTGTCCCACCTTGTTTGCATTGAACCTGACCATGTTGCGTTCGGACCCTTTTGCTTTTTTAAAGGGACCCACCCCCCCGAACGGCAGGTTCCGCTTTACTCTTCCCACCAGAATTAGCCCTTTCTTGTTTTGATTTGGGTCCTGTTTGTTTTTTTAAACCAGGCAAAACAATACTGTTTTTTGCTGGGGTCCTAAGTCCAGCCAAGCACTTGGGGATAGCAGGGATGGTCATCCTGCTAAAAACGGTTTGTGGTCTTTCTTGGAGTTGCTACGCTTTTTGTTCTCCACTTGTCCAAAGCGAGTCGACCATTTGAGCTTTTGCTTTCCCTTTTCTTGACCGATTTGTCCCAATGAGTGAGGCGGCCAAACGCTTGGCCGCGGGTTTGAAGCAGCCGCTGGAGGCGCCCGGCGGCTGGGTGTGACCCCCGGCTCCTTATGTGGACCGATGCCAGGGTAATGGCCCCTCCATGCAAAAGCAAGACCCTCCCTCCTTTGCAAAACAGAAAGACAGATCGGCAGAATTGAATGAAGTTGTTGGGAATTACCTTTTGGGGCGACTCAACTCCCCGTAGGTGCCAACAAGAGAGGCGCTCGGCCTGAGCCCCGGCAAAGTACCCCCAGAGGAAGCTGGAATTGGGTGGAGACGCTCCCGCGGATTATGGTACCCACCAAGCCTTTGCGATTTAGAGCCCCATTTTTGGGGCCGCGAGGAACCCCATGAAGGGTGGATATCATTCATGTTGGCCAAAAACAAACATTCGCCACGCGCCGAACCCCCACCCCCCCACCCCCCCCCCCCCTCCCAACCCAAATTTTGCAGAATTGCAGGGTTAATTTTAATTGGCCATTTGGTGGACATCATTTTCTAGGGGTTGAGTCCCGATTCTGTTCAACCATCGTTTTCAGAAACCGGCCGTTTCCTCTGGGTTTTTCCATGGCTTCCTGAAAAGAAGGACATGGAATCTTCCGCTCGAGATTTCAGGGGCTTGTTGTCTATCCAACTCTGAGATGCCAGGTGGCGGTGGTTTAGTTCTTCGACGGCTTCACTGGTGCAGAGGTGCTGCGGATGCAGAAGGAGGAGGGCATCATTGAGATCACGGAGCCTGGCGCGACCACCCGGCAGCGGGCGACTCGGATGGGCGCGCAAAAGCACGGGAGTCGTGGTGTGGGCGCATAGATCTCCTTTCGATCGGTTAGTTTGGTTAGAAATAGATGTTGTCCACTGCCTTAGATTGGTTTTATTGGATTTACCAGGGCATCTACTTTACCAAGAGGACACCCATGAATGGTCAGTTGGCATGTCATGGTGTATCTCCGCAACCAGGGGTATGGATGCCAGAAAATGGCTGGTTTCGTTTTGGTTCCCCTTTGAATCCAAGGAGCAATGAAAACGGTACGGCCCCAAAGGACCCGTAGAGAATCATGTGTTGAGGGGTGCTTTTTGGGTCCGTGTTTCAGGCTGTCAGAGAGAGAAGGGAGAAAGAGAGCGCAACCAGATTTGTGGCGTTCACGAATGTTGCACTTGCGGTCACCAGTGTTCTTGTTCTAACTGTTTGTGCATCTGGATGTCTTGCTTTCGGTCTTCCTTTTCGAAGACTTTCCAACACGATCCTGTGTTTCGTGCGTTACCTCCACGCTGTCTTTTGCTCGAACTCCAGCCTATAAACGGGCCCAGTCCACTTCTTACTTAGCGTTGAATTGAAGACCTGCCGCTGACTTGATGAATGCGGATTCCTCAACCCGCCCAGGTTTTTGTCATGCAATGCTCTCTCGCATACACCGGATCCTACGGCAGACAGAAACGGCCACTTTGGACTGGCACCACTTCGAGGCTGTGATCCTAGTCGAGAGTTGCTTGCCAACAGCCATGGCCGCAGCCTTGCGATGCTTCGTGATGCCTTTGCCAGGGCTAGTGGCTGTCCGTGACATGCATCACCAGCAACTGGAAAGCACCAATGCCCAATTGATAGCTCGACACACACAATCAAACAGCTCGGCTTTCAGTACTTCGGCGTGAGCGCCAATGCTTCCTTTGCAGAGCTTGATGCCAAGCTCGCACAAGGTCGCGAAAACACCGAGTGCTTGAAGGGAGCACTTGAAGAGAGCCGTCAGCGTTTGGAGGATCTCAGGGTCTATTTGGGATACTCCGCGAAGGAACGCGTATGCTTGCCCAGATAAGGGAGCCCGAAGAGCTTACTGTCTGATTGCCAAAATTATATGGATTGTATCCAGACTTGTGCTGTTACTTGCGTCTGTAGCTGTAGCCGCGGCTTTGTCTACAAAACATGTCAGTGCTTTCGCTAGATGCAGCGAGCTTTCAACCGCAGCACCAAAATGCTGGTGCCGAAGAAGAACAGGGGGCTTCATCGAGGTCCGTCCCTACATCTGGTGTCCATTCTACCACTTGGAAACCATGGTTGAAACCATAGCGTTGGTTGGTGAAAACAGGGGAATCGGATCATCCCAGGTTTTCTGAACGGTGGCTCGGACGAATTTTGTCCATCCATGTATTGACACTCTTTCTATCTTAGCAAGAAAGCATGCTAGCTTCAAGTGCACCAATCCCATGAGACTTGTCTATGCCTTGCAAACGGCTAGCTGGCGAGAACGAGTTCAGAGGACTCCTCTCTGATGGATTTTGGGGGTGGACTCCTCCAATAATTATTGATAGAATACTCCTACAATCGTGACTCGATTTAGTTTTGTGGTCCCCCTTCGCTTGGTCAGAAACGGGGAGCAAACGTGGACATGCGTCCATTGCGGTATATCAGCCAGTGCCTCTCACAAGTGCCACGGTCAAACGACCCTTTCAACCGTTAGGATTCCTATCAAACGATGGCTATCTCCCACAGATGGGAAGTTCCGGCACTCAAGGCGACCCAGGTTTTGCCTTTTTAGGCTTCTTGAGAGGATTTGGGGGGAAAAGAAGTCAGAGGGCACCCATGTTGGAGGGATTCCTTCTCGGACCTCCCTTTCGTTGCCCCAACTGGACTAAACCAAAGCCCAGGTGACCCTCTCGAGTTCCCCGAGAGAGCCGACCGCCCGCCGCGGGTCACGGAGATCGCGCCCCGAAGATGCCGCCGGCCCACAGCCGTGACTTGTGCCATCTACCCGCGTTTCGATTTGTGTGATGTGTACTCAGTGTACTCCATGTTTTCTTCGCGCGTTTCGATGGAACGGACCTGCCTATCTCGGGGTCGCCATTTCTGCTTGTCCCTGACCAAGGGCCCGTTCCCAGGTCACTGGGTCACTGGGTCACTGGGTCACTGGGTCACTGGGTCACTGGGTCACTGGGTCACTGGGTCACTCGGTGCTGTGTAGTGGGAATGGTCCCCCCAAAAAGAAAAGAATAACAGCAAGCTACCGAAGGGATGGTTTGTAGTCATTGGGGGGTATTTCCACCGAGGTGACTCCCTGAGAATGGGGCCTCCCAAGAAAATCAACTGGCGCTTCAAGAGTAAACATTGCGAGACTCGACCAACTTGTTTGCCCTTTCACCCTTTAGCTTTTCCTGCTTGAACCTGGCCGGTGCTTTGCCTGCAAGGGCTGGTGAAGATCGCTCGAGGAAGGGAAGAAATACGGTACTGCTGTGGTCTTCAGCTATTCTTTCGTGGGTACTTGGATCCTTGCTCGCTCACTTCATTCTTTCAGGGAAGCGGCCAGCTCCTCCTTTATTTGTTTGACCACAAGGAAAAACAACCTTATGCCCATCTACTTCACTTCCACCGGACCTTGCCCTTTAAAGGGAACTCAAGCAGGAGTTGGCCAAACCTTGAGCCAAGCGGGCCCCGTTTCGGAAGTCTGAAAAAAGGGAACCCAAAACCAGGTTGTTGAAACAATGGTTTAAGTCAGGAGTTGAATCGCCCACCCCTCAACCTTGGCTGCTCTTTGGGTGTTTCACCTGCGATTAGCTTGTGGGTTGAAAGAGGGTTTTCCCCCTGCGTGTCTTGAGCCTTTAGCCTTTTGGTGGAACATGTGTTCTTATCCCCCATTCGGCAGGCAGCATGTTAAACACTTGCCGACCAAACCAGTGTTCCCCCCGTTAAGCAGACAGCAACTCATTTGCTTCTTTGGGCAGGAGGCAACCGACTTTTCAAAAATCGGACAATGACTCTTCACCCAATAAGCAGGCAAACCGCTTGTCTTTTTGCAGAGGCCCCTTCTGGCCAACCCAGATTCATACTCGATCGGCGCAGAGTTACGGGTTGCCCTTGCAACAGCAAGCCGAGCACAGCCAGGGGACCCTAATGTGTTTTTATGAGCCTGCACCCAAAGGACAATCATGTGTGTAGTTGAGCAGCGCTCAAGAGTCCTTATTGGCTTGCCTATACACAACACTAGAACCCTTGTAGCCCAAATCCATTTCACGGAGCAGTGTGAGGAACTTGCTCGTGATCGCGGTGAGCTGGCCTGTGTTGCAGCGGTAGCAGCCCGTTTCTCTTTGTGCCGTTGTAGCTGAATCCCAAGCTCCCGGCGTACTTCACAGGCCAAGCCCGTGTTTTGGTTTAACAAAGCAGATGTACCTTTCGGCTTTTGTTTTTGGGTTTCCTTTGTTCATGGGTGCCAAGCAGCGCTTGGTCCCCTCTTGGCTTTCTTATTTTTCAATTCCACATCGCACCCTGACCTTGCTACGGCGGATGTTGCAGGCGTGTATTTCAGCACCGCGCCCTTCCAGTTGGTTGTGCTTCGTGGGGCTGGCGCCCATCTTCTCAGGCCTGCACTAGATCTCCCCCAATGTGCTACATTGTTGGGCCAAGTTTGGCCAAGAGCTGGCCTTCTCGTGGTTACCATCGTGAGAATGATGGGAAGCCACTTATGGTCCTTATGGTTGGGACTGTCGCCAGGTTTTGGTTGTCAAAATGGCTTGCTTAGAGGTGGGTTGATGAATAAACCCTTGTTTGATCTTGATTGGGGACACCGCGGGCCCTGGGGTTTGTAGGTGGTACCAATCCTCGTAAAAGCAGCTTGGGGAGGCTTGGAGTTCCTCTTGCATTTTAGTTTTTGGTGCCGTGTGAATGTGCTCAAGTCTCCAGATTTCTGGGAGGTCTTTTAAGGAGTTCCTTGGACAGGGGGATCCCTGTGGCTTTTGCCTTTATTTGGCTGGTCTTTGGTGTGACCAAAGTGTTGGTTTCGCGAATGGCTTTTTCATTAAACGTACAAAAGGCGATCGACCAGTGGTTGACACCCGAGGTGGCCGGACGATTTTGTGCTGGGGCTCAGGGCGGTATGCAGTGCTTTGGCATTTCCGCTTCTCGATCGCCTACTCTCTTTTTTTGTGCTGCCTTCCGGCAGCCCGTGTGGAAGTGAGAACTCGGTTGCCGTGCTCTCAGCGCCAAGAGCTGAGAAATCACATTCGATCATCCAAAGTTTCCTCCGTTTCCCTTGCTGGCCCTTCAGAGTGGCAGTTTTGGTGGAGACAGAGTGATAGCACCAGAAGTACTGCGAGTCAAAAGAAGACGGGTGCTGTCCGCAGCTTGGCTCGCCGGCTGTCGCTGGGCTGAGCTAAGGCAAGAAAGTTCTGAAACGACCCCGCAAGGATTTTAGTGCTTCAGTTTACACCCTCCCTATGACTTCCAAGAACTGATGTCACATACTCTGGAACGCCACGGTGGCGGTAGGGGCTAATATGAATGCTGCAGTGTTGATGAAAACGTGCAAATGCTGTGCAAAGACCACAGTTGCAGGCTCCAAAATGTAAATATCGGGTGCCCTACTGCTATCGTGCTGCTACCCTGTCGCAGGCTGGCGCCGTCATTCCCAGGGTCGATGTGGTGAACCGGTGCTGATCAACGATGAGAACGTGCAGAGCCTTGAGCAAAGTGTTGCGTCCGGTCGCACAGAGAGGGAGCGAGTCGAACGGATACTTGGGAGCCAGCAGCATGGTTTGTGCAACATGTGTTTGGGAAACAGCTTTTTTGAGCTAAGACATTGCCCCGTTCTCAGTGAACGGTTTGACGCCAAGCTGTAGTTGCAGCTGTTGGTTGAAGCCACTTCCCAGCGTATCACAGGCTGTATTTGCGGATTCTTTTGAGAGCTCTTTCTGGCTGGCTCTCACAATGTCATACACCCATGCTTCGATGATTCCAGTGACATGTCTTTACGAGACTCAGAGGCAGAACCTGAAACTTGCACTTGCGCACGTCGAAGCGCTCATGAGAAAGGCGTCTATGGACTTCGTATAGCACGAGCTGCGTGCTTTGCGCATGCCTGCGCCTTTTGAGGACCTACCTTCCAGACTTGCCAGAAGAGTACTTCAGAGCCTTAGCATGGAAGCCAGGGCTGGAATTCACAGAGGGGAGTTGGTTGTGGATTGCTGGCCGTCTGCCCAAGGAATGCCATACTCACAGGCCAAGTCAGACATCATCAGGCGCGAGCTGTGAGTGTCCCGTGTCGGGCCTTGCTGCATATCGTTGGGTGAACGTTGTTCCGGCACCATTCCAACCCGAATTGTGCCATCTAGTTCCCCCCTGTGCAACGTCTGCCGTACCCTCCGCGCGTCTCCGCGACTGCAATGCGACCAAGGTATGGCCTTCTTTTTCATCACGGGGGCATCTACATGGACACGGACTTTCTCGTGGTGAAGGACTTTTGCATGGCCATCCTCAGAAGCCGGCCCCTGCACTGACGAGAGTCCTGATTGCAATTTTTGTTGATTGGTTCTGCGCCTTTCAAGCAAAGATTTTGAAGGGTTGTGGGAGTTGCCCGCTGTACCATTGGAAAGCCTCCCCTTATTCTCACCCCGTTTCGCAGAAGTTTCAACTCCAGCCTTATTTCGAGGACCTCTTTTTGTTCTTGCCCGCAGGGACGGACTCTCTACCTTTTTTTGCCGGGCACGTTCGCGGTGGACTTTCCGTGAGGATCTCGGGGAGGTCTTAGACTTGGCGCAGAAGTACGACCTTGTATCGTACACAGATGCGCTTGCGCCTTGTTCCAGGTGTGTCTCTTTTCCTCCGGTGCTCTTTTAGGATGGCTTGAAAAAGGGACACCGCGAATTTTGGTTTCCTAAACTTGGGATAGCCCTTCTGCTTGGGAACGGGTCCGTGCGGCAGAGCCTGAGGCGATTGTTGTCAGTTGTAGGTGGTGTTGACTCCTGGAAGACCATTTGCAAAGTGACTTCTGGTGGGTTCGATCATCCGGAGGATGGCCCATTTCGAGGGACATCGATTTGGGACGAGCTCTTTTCAACGAAGCGTGGTTGGAAGCAGGACGATGTTTCAACGACCGACCCCTCTCCAAATTCCCGGCCTGTTTTTGTTGACACACTATTTGGTCACGGTTGCGCCAGTCGCCTGGTGTTTTCGGAGCCGTCACTGTCAAAAGCGTTGGGTTTTTGCTCATTTCGCTCGCAGCGTGGCAGTTTCAACATGCAAAGCTACTTTGTTCGGCTAGCTGCGCAACAATATCTCGAATGCCCCCAACAGAAGCAGTTGCCAAACTGCGTCTCCACACAACCTGCTAAGTTCTTTGTTTCAAATGAACATTCACATCCGAATCATTGTCACACCAACAATTTGCGGTGGAGCTGCAGAGGTTCCAACGTAGGACAGCGACAAAGCTATGGCACCAGGGTCAGCAAACATCCCTGCCCAGCCGTGAAAAAAACCGCAGGGACCGAACGCAATCATGCCCCCCCCCCTCCATCTCACTCTTAGTTGGAAACGGTTGCTCTGGAAAAGTAGCACTTGAGAAGGAAAACAACAAAAAGAGTATTTGATACCTGGTGACCAGCGCGGCCTTGACCCACTATTTACCTCTGGATCTCTCTTTTGCGAGAAGCGTTTGGTGCAGAGAGCCGTTTTGGAAGACGTTTTTTCACTTTGGAGGGAGGGTTCCTGTGCGCTTGCATGTTTGTTGCGGGAGGGGATGTCGCCGTACGGGAATGAATTGGGGGGGCAGGAGGGCGTGTTTCGGCAACAAGTCAGTTTGTATGCCCGAGGGGGGGGGGGACCGGAACTTGCGAAGGGGGTTGCAAACCGTGCGACTGCCTGGCTGTACTTGATTCAGGAGACCATCTTGGAGAAGAGTGTCATGGCTGCAAGGAGACTGCCTTTTGTTCCTATTTTGGATTGGTCAGCCTGAGCCTGGTCTGGCACATGGCTGCCCACAAAAAGGGTGTGTGTGTGTGTGTGTGAACCCACCCCCTCTAGCGTCACTCACTGCTTAACGAAGACAGTGGTGGTTTGGCTGTGATATCCGGAATGGGTGTATTCTGGACATACCTGCGGCCTGGTTTGCCGGGCTTGAGTGTGGTGTTCGTGAAGACCCCTCAAACCTTCAGTGAAGTGTGTGACGCGCTTGGCACCAAGTGAGTCTGTGAGCGCTTTTGCGCTCTATTTTCCTCTATTTCTAACTTTCCTGGTTCTCACGCCGAAAAGCGCAGCGCTTGAACGTGCAGGCTTGCACCTGCGCGGGCATGTTTCCCCGCTTCTCAGTGAACGCTCCAGTGCCGCACCACCCTCCTCCACCCCACCTCCATTTATATCATCGTGCTACGTCAACTTTCCTTGCTTCCGTTTGACCCTGCGCCATGCACGGCTGCCGACAGAGCTACGACTCACTCCACGAATTCTGCGTGGCCCCTCCTCAGCGCGTTGGGGGCACACTCCTGTTTTTTCCAAGTGGTGGTGGTCGCCCCGTCATCTACATGGTTGACAACAATGGGACTGGGACCCTTCTTCCACAAGCTCCACAGCAAATTCATGCAGACTCATCTGATTGCACCGCCTTCTTCTCGAACAAAGCAAGGTCTTTGGCTGCTACTTGCGGATCTGGCCAGTAATGCCCGACGATCTTTCAAGACACAAGTGCTTCTTCCTCGCTGGAATGTTTGAGGCGCGGCACACCGCTTGCCATTCTTTGGTGCCCTGGCTGGCGCAATCCGCCCCAGATTCACGGCACAAAGAGCTGGGTCACTTCAAGAATGTTCTTGCACCTTTTTCCCGAAAGCATTGCGAAGGGTTCTTCCAGCAAAGTCGTTGCGTTCTGCGCAGCTCAGCTGCATAGGGAAAGTAGACAGTGAAATGCATCGAGGCATGCGTAGGGAAAGTACGCAGCATGCATAGGGCAAGTACAGAGTGAAGCGCATAGATGCATGCGCAGGGAAAGAAGACAGTGAAATGCGAAGAGGCATGCGTGGGGAAAGTAGACAGTGAAATGCAAAGAGGTATGTGCAGGGAAAGTAGAGAGTGAAATGCATAGAGGCATGCGTAGGGCATTTTACGCAGGGAAAGTACACAGTGACACGCATAGAGGCATGCGCAGGGAAAGTAGCATAGAGGCACGCTCAGGGAAAGTAGACAGTGAAAGCCTCTATGCATGTGTAGGGAAAGTAAACATTGAAATGCGTAATGATGCTGCATTCCTTCTCGCACGAGCATAACTTGCACGAGAAAGCTTGCGCCGCGACGGGCCACGTGTGCTCTGCGAAAATGAGACCCTCTCCGGGATCGGCGTGAAAACTGGAGACTTTTCCCGATTCCTGCCGTGCGCGCGCGACCCTCTGCGGGGATCGGCGTGGCCGATGTGCAACAACTGCGAGTTTTTGCGATTTGCAATTTGCGTGTGCGGCCCTCTGCGGGGATCAGCGCCAATGTGCAAAAACGGTTTGTTTTTTGACTTCTCGCGGGACGCGCGCGACTCGCTGCGGGGATCGGCGTGGTCCAGCTGCAAAAACTGAGGGTTTTGTGTGATTCTTGTTATGCGCGCACGGCTCTCTGCGGGGATCGGCGTGGTCAATGTGCAAAAACTGCGTTGTTTTGCGTTTTCTTGCGGTGCGCGCGCGACCCTCTGCGAAAATCGGCGTGGTCGAGGTGCAAAAACTCGAGTTGTTTTTTTGGCGTTTTCTGCTCTGCGCGCGCAACGCTCTGCGTGGATCGTGCGTGTCGGATAGCTCTCGCTATGGTCCTGTGCGAATCTTCACGGTTCGCGCGCAACCCTGTGCGGAGATTGTGCGTGTCAGGTCGCTCCCGCCGTGGCCCCGTGTGAATCTTCGCATATCTTCGCGGTCTGCGCGCGGCCGTTTGCAGGGATCAGGCTGCAAAGTCGCAACTTTTATGTACAAAAGTAGCACGCAAAGTACGGCGCCGCGGCGGGGCCCCGTCCCCGCAGCTCGGGCTGCGAAGTCGTGACTTTTAAGTGCAAAAGTTGTACGCGAAGTACGTCCCCGCAGCCCGGCTGCAAAGTCGGAAAGTAGACAGTGACATGCGTAGGGGCATGCGTAGGGCAAGTACAGAGTGAAGTGCATAGATGCACGCGCAGGGAAAGTAGACAGTGAACTGCGCAGAGGCGTGTGCAGGGAAAGTAGACAGTGAAATGCAGAGAGTGAAGCGCATAGATGCCTGCGCAGGGAAAGAAGAGAGTGAAATGCATAGAGGCATGCGCAGAGTAGACAGCGAAACGCATCGAGGCATGATAGGGCAAGTGCCGCATGAAGTGCGTAGATGCATGCGCAAGGAAAGTGGACAGTGACATGCATAGAGGCATGCGCAGGGCAAGTAGACAGTGAAACGCATACAGGCATGCGCAGGGAAAGCAGACAGTGACATGCATAGTTGGAAAAAATGGGCCGATGCAGGTCGCGTGTCATGAAAAATTCTTTCGGGCCACCTGTCTTCCAGTTCTGCTTCCTGTTTGTCACACGGGAATTTTCGCCCTGATGTCATCCAGGACCTTCGCAAAAGCTTCTTCGAGTCAAACACGCTGCGGCCTTTACATGCATGCCGTCTTTCTAGGTCACCTTCATCAAGAATTCGCGCGTGGCCGTCTTAATCACCGAGCAATGACGCAACGACCCTGCAAAAGACTAGGCTTACGCGCTTGCTCGTCGCATTCCGACCTACCCTCTTCGGCTTTCGTTCCATCGCCGCCGACGCAGCTGACGTACCATTGGAGGGAGATCTTGTCCGGGAAAGCTCCAAACATGCAGTTTTGCCTATTCCTTCTTCCCAAACACACTCATTCGTCGACAACATTCGAAGGTGAGTCCGTTTCCCTCCTATACCACTCGCTCAAGCTCATAAGAACAATCGATTGACTGCTGGACCACATTTTCTTTCATTTTTTCCACTCCCTTGTACTGCAATCACACAACGGCGCTGCGTGTGCCCTCCGCGACCAGTGTCCACAATACTCGCAGATGTGTAACGGACGAAGCCAGAGGAAACTTTTTCAATCAGGCCGGCTCATTGTCTCTTTTGGTTTTCAGGGCTTCTGCGCATCGGTGGACGCAGCCCTTTTCGCTGCTGTGTGGAATCTTCTGTGCGCCCGGAATGGGAAAATTCTTGCCAGCCACAGTTCTTCACCGTCGATCTCAATGAACGTCAACAAGCTCGAGTGTGTTGCGGAGTCATCAACGTCAGATACGACGCTTGGACTTTCCACCAATCCAATGTCCCGACGGGCAACCTTGCTAGATGTTTGATGACAGTTGACGCGCTTGAACAATTATGGTATGGCACGTGCTCTTCTTTGCTTTTCGACGTCTTTGTGGCACCGCTGCCGCTACGTGGACAACCGTTTGGTCATGATTCCTTCTCGACTTGCTTCCCCAACTTCTATGGTGGAACCCGTCCTATTTGTTGGTGAATCAGCTGCCAGGTTGCCCTGACAAGCCAGTCGTCCTCAGGATCTGGAGCGGGGTTGTGAGTAGGAGGCAAGGCTGAGGATCTCAACGCATCGGGCAAGTGCAGCGCGCGCGTGGCTTGGACATGACATGACGTTTATGGACCTAGTATGAGCACACATGCCATGGAATGACATGACATGAAACGGGAGGTTGAAAGATGTGCTCGCCGCCTACAATGGTTGAACTGATGCAGTCGATGTAAAGGTCAACGATGGTTGGCTGGCGTAGGCGCTTTTTATGGGCGTCATTCACGAGCGTTGTGCCACCGCAGCGAGGTGACAACTTGCGCCCTTTGCGCCTTTCGTTTAAAGAGGCGAACGCAAGTTGGCAGTGAAGCCGGGCACGGGTGCCGAAACTGCGCGGACGTCGGGTGCTACCACGGCAGCTTTACCTCCATCTGCCTCTGCCGACGCTCCATGTCGTGGCCCGTCAACAGCGAGCAACTCGTACTTACCGCCTCCATGTTACTGATTCAGCACCTTCGCCTTCGTTCAAGCAAGACGTGGGCCGTTGTTCCTCGTCCAGTAAAACGCCTCACATAGGCCCAGTTGCTCTTGATTCGGGATATCCGAAATGGGCGCCTTCTGGACGTACGTGCGCGGCGAAGCCTGGTTTACTTCCTGTGCGTAGTAGGGTGTAGCCATATTGCAGTTGGATTTGTGCGGCTTGAGCGTCGTGTTCGTGAGGACCCTGTGCCTGGCTGCGTTTGTGTGTGTGCGCGTTTGGAGACACTAAGGGGTGTGCTCCAGAAACTTTGGCTCCAACTTCATGGCCGCCCGCAAGGGCAGCGTCTTTATGAAGACGGTCTGGGACAGACAGAAGCCCCTCAACCTCAGATGAGTCCCGGGTTTTGACCATGTGCACACACATTCAATGAAGTGGCGCGGGCGTGAGCCTTTTCTTTTTGGCAACGTGTGTTGAGGCAGCTGATGCAAGCCCATTGCCCTGTGTCGGAGAAGGGCGAGGGGTTGGAGACGCTGTGCTGCTCTGACAACGCTACGGAGCAGTGTCGCGTTGCATGGGGTGGCCGCTTGGTGCTTATTTCCCCCCATAAAGTTGGCCAGCTAGGGTCACCGAGTTGCATATGCCGCCATTTTGTTTGGAGGCAGCGGCGCAATGAGAGAGATTTGTGGCTCGCCTCATGCAACGTGCGTCCCCACCACCCGCCATGTTGAGCCTGGTTTGAACAGTTCTTGGGCCCCTGACTTGAAGACACACTCACAAGGTGCCGCTCGCAAAAGGGTTAAAACAAAATGCAAATGGATACGTGGCTTTTGTTATTAAAGGGCGCTCTTGGACAAACAGCTTGGAGCCGCTCCAATCGCGCTTTTGACTTAGGGATTGGAGAAAAAGTCTCGCATCCAGTCTTCGATGAGCTGGAGGGTGAGAGCGCGGCGTTTAGCAGCTACTGCTTCTCAGGCGAGAGAGGCGTGTGGGTTGGGCGAAATTGTGCCAAAAGGTTGTTGAACAGTTTGGTGGTTTAATGAGTATAAGCATTGCAGGTTTATACGCAGGTTTACAACAACGAATTGACGATTCAATCCAACATGGAGGCTTTACCCCGCCGCGCCTGCTGAACTTTCTGGCCACGCCCGAACTTACACTTGCAGACGCAGAGGATATCTGGGAGAAAATGGAAGTGGACGAGCCATCGGCTAGGGATCCTTTCGGCCGGATCATGTACCACACCTTCAACTCCGCCGCGACATGGTCCGACTTCTCATGTCGGGATGCTCAGTTTCAAGGCCATAGCGCAGTGTGTCTTCAAATGGGACCTACATTTTGAATTCGCGCTGGCCTTCTTGCAGCGAGCTAGGGGGAAGGCTAACGTAAACGCGTTTCAATGAGGGGCGGGCAAAACTCTGGCCCAAGGACCAACAGGCCGAAGAACCGTTTTTGGTGCTTAAATGCAGTTTGAGTTTGTGTGTGCGTGTGGGTGGGGGGCGCCCTCAAACACGTCTATCCTTTGACCCAGGCAAGCAGATTTTTAACACCAGCTCGCTGTACGGCAAGTTGAACTACCTCAGCTTCACCACTGGCAGCGGTTCCATCGCCAGAATTAATTTGACATGTGTTTTGAGGGTGTAGAATGAAAGCAAGGCCCGCGTTTCCGATTGCCATAGCCGATTGCCATGACAAGCGTGTCTAGGACCTGTATCCGGCAAGAACTGAAGTTTCCTTTTACCTGACGCCGGGAGGCTCCAAGAGCCTGCCCGCGACGCCGGAGTACATGGAGTGGCTGCAGAAGAACCTGGAACTTGCAGAGCAATTCCACACCGTTTGTCCCGACAAGGTCCCAACCTGATGTTATGTGCTATGAATTTGTTGGGTGGCTTACCCACTAGGATTGTGGGGTGGTCTGGCTTTGATTCGCGCCCAAGTGTGCCGCAGTGTGTCCCCCGTGTTTTTCGGCTCCGTTGCCCATGGCCCTGTGAGAGCAAGCAGGGAAGAGCTGAAAAGCCGCGCGCAGTTGGCGGAGCCACTTGTTGTGAGACCCTGCGCACGCAAGGGCAACAGTGCCGCGTGACAGAAGCTAGCAGGAAGCTCAAGGATCCGCAGGTCTGCAGGACTGCGGAGTCCCAGCATGGCATAAGGAGGAGGAGAAGTACAACCGCCTGCCCTGCAGAAGGTAAATATGTATCGAAGAGGTAATGACCAAATGTATTGTAAGCAGGGTTTGGCCTAATAGGAACAAGTGTAAACTGTACCACAGTCAGCAAAGCGGGCAAGACAATGACTTTAACAAGAACCATGGTGATAAATTTCGGCGAGCCGGAGTTTGGTACGGACTTCTATCAGAGTCAGAAGATTCCAAAGTTCCGGTGAACAGACCCAGAGCGGGAGAACCGCTTGCTGCAACTCATGCTCGAAAGAACCCAACCGTCGGCGCGATGTCGTCATCAGCGCCTCCGGAAACGATCCAACCGAGCAAGACAAAAGGAATCGAGAGTCTGCAAGTCCAGGGAGGAAAGATCGTGTACCTGGAGGGCGGCGTGGATGAATATACGCTCGATGCGCTCTTAGCTGACGAGACAAAGTGCATCGTGACGGGCTACCGTTCCTAACACTGGGAGTACACCATTACGCATGCAAAGTCGTACAACGCAGTCATTGGGAACATGGTCCGATTTGTTAATCGGGGATTGAACACATGGTCGATGCGATCGCTGGCGGCACGAACTCAGCGTGCAACAAGAACAAGAACTAGTTGGTAGCGCGCCCCGAGATGACAGGAGTCGTGAAATCCTTCAATAGGCCGAGAAGGAAGATATTGTCCGGAAAGAAAATAGGCTTGTGTGTCGACGAAATGGTTATGGATTCTGCCCTTCTTTTCTCGATAGTTTCCAGATCTATCCTGAGAATTCCTTGATTCCGGCCGCGGTGGTACTTTTCGGAACCTCGTGGTGCAGGTCCAGGAGGAGGTGCAGCTTTTCGCACAGACGCACGGCATGGTGCATCTGCGGAATGTTCAGAGTCACAGCTCCTCGCGCACCGCCCATGCGATGCAAGACCGGCCAACAGACATGCGCTCACGCTCCCCAGTGCCTCACCGATCTTGGGTTAGGCTTACTTACCCCTGGACCTCATGGCAAATCCGAAGATGATGATGACTGGGGCGAATGGACACATAGTGGTCGCCGGAGTCATGAGGACCGTAGGCCACCAGGACGCCATGCTGCCGCTTCGAACAGCAATCCGACGCACACGGTTGACCTCATTCAGCTTCGTGTTCGCGCTCCGACGCCATCACTGGGCAGCCATCACTTCGTGTTTCGCTCGGGCTTTCAGGTTGAGGAAATTGCCATACGCATCAACGATGTCTTGTACTACACCCTTCCGGAGTTGGTCTATCCAGACCCATCCAAATGGAAGCAGTCTTGGGAGACAGTGTACCGGAGTGTCATGCCGCACCGTGAGAATATCATCCGGGATGAGCACAGAGTGAGATCTGTCTCGGAGCTGACAGCAGAGAGACTCCCGCAGGAGCTTGGACCACGGAGGTCATCCGTGAGATCTCCCGGGAGTTTGACATCGCTGTAGACAATTTGCCTGAGCAACTTCCTGGAAAAGTGCTGGCCGTACATCCAGAAGACCCCGAGGACATACTACCGTTTCCAGCCAGGCAAAAGGATTCTTGGAACAATCGCTATGGGATCATCTTCTCCTTTGAGCCGCGCCGCAAGCTACCGGATAACTTTCGCACTCAGTCGATCTCGCCGGTCTTCTGGGCGCACAACACCGACATCAATTCCGCCATTGGCGTCTTGAAAGACGAGGAGCTCATCCGACCTTCGAAATGGCAGCAGCATCCATCTCCCAACGACGAGTACACCAAGTGGAACGATGCGTGGATTCCGCCGATGGGCTTCTATTGCAGAGGGAGCCTCATTTCCAATGAAGCCGCTGTGAAGTCTGCCGCCCAGTTTGCCGGGGTCCACTCTCCGCGTCCTCTCTGCGTCGGAGGAAAGGCACGCTTGCGCCAGGATCGCTGCATGATTCCACGCGGCGGCACGTACGCAGACATTGCCGCTTCCCACTACTATGACTGCATTCACGCCAAAGATGGCAGGTGGAAACTTCGATCATCAATTGCGGTCCCCAGCTACGTGGGGATGTTCTGGTGACTATTTCCTGCACGACCTTGTGACAGCCCTGCCGGTGAGGCGCTGACTCGACGATTCCCATGCAACAGCAATATGCGGTTTTGTGGCAGTTGACTTTTCGTGATGTTCATCATGACGTTTTCGGCTGCTTGGATTGCTCTTCCGGAAAAGTCCATCCTGTGCCGATCAGCCTGCAGAGTTGCGTGATTGTAAGGTTTGCATGTTTGCTTGCTCGTGGGTCTTGATGCCTCTGTAGTTTGTGATTGATTGTGGTTTATGCCTGATCGCGTCACAGAACCATGGCCGGCCTGTTCCCCAACCGTCATGGATCACGGTGACATTTTACGAGAATGCCGTTAATACTCCATCTCGTCGCAGATCAGTATACTAGTGGCTGGACTGCAACGCCTTGAAGGACACCAACGGCATCCACAACCACCACTTCCTCCTGCTGCACCCGCTGTTTCTCCTGTGGTACCTCCAGTACCGACGGCGCCAGAGGTACTTCCGCCGCTGCCACCACCTTCGACGCCTGCACCAACGAGAACATCCTTCACATCGATGCCTATTACACTGGTAGCCACGTCTACCAATCTAGCAGAAGATGATGATCTTATTGAGCCCGTCAGTGACAGCGCATCCAGGGAACGCAACAGGAGGAGACGGTCGAGGAGACGCGACCCCCATCGGCACCGCTCTCGGGAGCCGCAGTCGTCGCAGGCGACCACTCAATCGTCGTGGCCCCATGCTATCAGCAGAATATCGCAGTGCCGCGCCGAAAGCTCCTCCTGCAGTGAAGGCTATGCCAGCGTGTCGTCCATCCGGACTACCCCGAGGCCGCTGAAGCTCGGTGCCAGGTAAAAGACACTCAGCTCTCTGACGCAGCAGGTGCACTTCATTTTGCCCAGGTTGTGTTGTCTCGCAGCTGCCTTTTGCTTGAGTTGTCCTTGCGCCCCCGCCAAGATTACCTGCTCCCATCACGGTACACACCGATCGTGGACCCGTGACGACACCTACCTCTACCCCGGACTCTGATTCGGACTCTATCCGTCTGCATCCTGGTGCTTTGTCTTTTCGCCCGTCCCCCACAGTGGCGCATGGTCCTCGTGAACTTCTGCAAGAGTTCACGATAGCCCTCCGCAATGCATACCATGAACCATTCACGGCATGGACGCAGGGGGAGTTGAGGCGGAAAAAGGACAAGGGCGCGAGGCCCACCTACAAGAGCAGAAGACCGCGGAGGAAGTCAAGCATGCCTGGAAGGTCTACCAGCAACTTGAGGCACGCGACTAGACTCCGGTGAACTTCGCAGAGCTTGTGCCGTAAAAATCTTCTTGCGTGTTGTGAGTTGTGTCGGATTCTTCGCCTTGCTTTGCTTGTCATGCAGTCTTGAGGGATCAAGTCATGATGGAGCAAAATGTTCAGACGTTCATAACCTGGACTCATGGAGTAGCCGACGTGGCTGCAGTATCACGGCCCTTCACTTCACGATCGTGCGCTGGGAGTTCAAGCTGAAACGCCGACACGCGTACCGGCGCCACCGCCACCACCACCACAACGTGTTCTACCTCCTCCACCCCCACCACCGCCTCCGCCGCCGGAGATCTTCCACTCGCAGTTTGTGCCCACAATACGAACTTCACCTGCATCGCCTACATCATCTCCCCGGGGTGAATCCTGCCCGGCTACTACATCCTCTGACCGCACAAGACAATCAGCGCACAGCACTGACCAACTCAGTGCAGACGATCTTCAGCGCCGCACGCACACTCAGAAACGTGCTCGCACATTGAAAAGTGCAACGATCGACTCGTGCTACACGGTCCAGAGCTACAAGATGCAAACATTACTGCCATGTTTTTCTACACCATGGCCGGAAGTGTCTTTCTCCTTGCGTGCGACGTCAGCCGGGGCACTTTCATTGCCGATGTGCACGTCATCAACGGCAGTAACGAGGTGACACAGAGCCTTCTGAGTGAAAATATGGTCCGTTTCTCTTGCTGTTGCCTTGTCTTGTGTTGTGCTATCTCCATGTCCATGCTTTCGCAGACTCCTTTTGTCTCATAGAGGCTTATTCGGTTGTTATGTTCAATTCGACGACATTTGGCACCGAGAGATGGTCCTTCCCGCGCTACTTTGAGTACAACATCGTGCGTGGCCCTGGAAATATACAAGAGTCGAATGGATTCGAGTTTACATACCAGGCCCGTGGCAGCCTGTCGCAGAACCCACCTTGGGACCGGCTCCGGATGACTCGTCCACCTATCGTGAGTGGCGCAGGTTCTACCCACTTTGAAGTGTACTGGCCTCGTGACAGCGCGGGAGGCACCGCTGCGGACGCCCTCGCCCTACACGTCCTTTTGCACATGGCAATATCGAGACTGGCGCACCAGAGGATACCAACGACTCGGCAATCCACACCCGAGCATAGCACGGCCGGCTTTTGTGTCGGGATCGCCTGATCTCATGTACGCTGGATTGTCATCCTCATCGGCGTCCTCGGTTTCAGATGGTGGTTGGCGTTCTCCTTCACCTCGAGTGGGCTATGATCCTAACTTTGACTGGGACGAGTGACATCGACACCTGAGTTGGCTTCAGCTATAAAACACTGCGCTTGATGTTGCTTGCGTCTTGAGTGCATGGTTGAGGGTCTTGCGTTTGACTGGCATGTTCAGCGTCACATGGCATGAAGCGTTTCTTGCCTCCAGCCTTGTGCGTCAGTGTTCAATCAACATGCCGTGGCTAGAATGGTGCCTTGATCCTCAACGGCCGGACGCCCAATGGATCAAGATCTTTCATCCAGGTGCATGGACACTACAAGAAGAGCGCGATGACCCTCCTCCACGTCATACGTACAGGGAATGGAAGGTGTTCTATGAACAGGTTCATTCTCAAGACGGCGTTCACTCCGCTGTTCCTACTTGGTACAAACGGGACTGGGCCACGGAAGGTTACAGGCGTGTCGCGGCTCCTGAACCAGACAACTACTTCGCTTCGACTTTTTCCCCTGATCAGCGCAGCGTGGCCACACAGTCATCGACTCTGTGCATGTCTCCGCAGATGTTGGAGGCGATTCTACGATCCTCGGATGCGTCGGCCTTCTCTACTGAGGATCTCACTCGTCTGCAGGCAGGGATCTGCCAGCAACTTGCGGATCACACGCGTCAAACATCGCGGCCGCATCAACCAGTGCGTACTTCTCGAGACGCTGATCCTCCTGAATCTACTGGAGTCGCTGATCCTTATCTGCCCGCAAGCCGCCCCAGCAGTTCTGACGTCAAGGAGAAGCCCATTTTTGAACTAGTTGACCATTAGGCAAAATGGTGCTTTCTTGTCATCTTGCTTGCTTGTGTGTTGTCTGTTGCGCATGGTGGTTGGTTCCATTGCGTTGCTAGCTGGATCGGATACCGTGGTGCACCCTATCTTCCATCTCATGGATATTGATGATGCGACCCAAGCGCGGGCCCTGGATGGGTGCGGATCTACATTCCTGGACAACCTCAACTATGGCGCCAGGATGATGACGTTCTTGTCCTCCAGAGAACACTTTTCAAGTGTGGAAACAGGTGACCTCGCCAGGTGATGAAACTAAAGACAACGATGGGCAAGGTCACCATGCGCATGATCACCGCCAAACCTGGACCATTCAGGATTGGCAGTACCAACGGATATTGACCCGCCATGAGTCTTTGCGTGAGGGCGTGAACCCGGACTTTTCCATCCAGGTGGAAGAACTGGGCTCTCAACATGGTCTTCGTCAGCAAGATCGCGATGTGATGGATATGTTCACCTACGCCCCGCCCATGACGGACGCTGCACATCCATCGTCCCTGCTCATTCCGCCGGTCTTGCCATCAACCGCAGGACACAGACGCGGACTATTTCCTGCTCAACTTGGAGACCCTACGTCTGAGCGGCGCCGCACAGAGCGTGAGACTTCACGTTCTCCTCGCCGTTGTGAACATTTTGGTAGACGCTAGGGAGTTGAGCGCTTGGTCTTCCGGATGTAAAAGGCAGTGTACGCCCCTCGTAGAGGGGCGTGTGTGTGCGGAGTGGCAGAATACCCTGTCACCACAATTGAGGCAGGAGCACCATGGCAAGTCTCCTGCCAACGAAGACACTTGCCATCGGTGGTGATACTGGGACTGATCATCCCAGCGTACCTGCATGTGTAAAGTGATGTCGCTGAATGTCCTTTTGGCCCCCTTGGTTGCGGCGCTGTTTGTGCTTCTTGTTCTTTCTGGTAACGTTTTCGCCTCTAGAGGGAAACTGAGTGCTTCGCGAGTCGAAACTTATCCTACTCGAGACGTATCAGTTGTACTCGAGACTCATAAGTTGTACTCGAAGGATTAGCATCCTCCCTTGGGAGTTGAAGTGTGTGTGTGTCCGCGCGCGATGCTCGGGCGCGGCCACTTGTGCAGCCGTGCGGGTGTGCTTTCAATTTGGCCAGCGTGTGCGCGCTCTGACCGCAAGAAACAGTGTTTGCAAGCCGCGCTCAGCAAGCCGCGCTGGACGCTGGGAAGTCAGCCCTTGTGTATGTTGCGCGCATAGAATTTATTTCGGCCAACTGCGACAGTTTCTTAAATCTTTCTGTTGCCAGGTGTCTTCAAGCTTTTAGCTTAGGGCTGAAAAGTTTCAACGTTCGGGGGCGTGGGGCCAGACCCCGGCGGACTTTGAAGGTTAATTGAACCAGGAACCCTTGTCCGGGCTTTGCCCCGTTGATTTTTGCACGGCCTTCTCTCAGGAACAAGATGAGTTTCATGAAGAACCACGACGGCTTGCCTTGCCAAACCTGAGGACTGGTGAGCCACCCAAAGACGCAATTAGTGCGTTGTTTTGTCCCACCCATGCGCTGCTTCACCTATGGTGCGCCAACAGTTTTTGCTGCTTTTCTAGGTTGGTTTGTGTCCTTGTTGCCTGGCCAGGACGAGCCGCGCATCGTGACTGAGAGTGTCTAACTGCTACTCTTCTTCAAATGCTGACCTTCTGCGAAATGGAGCTTGGTTTCACCTCGCGCCAGGCAACTGCTGGCAGATCAAAAGAGTCTTCGGACCGAACTTGCCAGCTGGGCTGGGTTTCGTCACAAGCCCTTGTTTTCGCTGTTATGTTTCCTCCTCTCTTGCCTCGTTCTCGCTTCTCTCTCACGTCTCTCACGTGGTTTTGTCTTACTACTGTAGTTGCTGGCCCCTGACAGATGCTGTTGAGAATGTAGCGCAGATCTCTTGCAAGGTTTTCTGCCTTTGTTGCTTGTGTAGCGTCACGTATGCGGGCTAGGCCATGCTTCAAATGTTGAGTAGTCGAAATCAGTTTGTATCTATGTAGTCTGTGGACGCTTGTGCTGCTCCTGCGCTTGTTGCTCATTCTGTCCCTTCTGTAGTCGTCCGTTGCTTGTTCCTGTGCTCACCTGAGTTGGTTCTCCTGACATGTCGTAGTGGTTTGGTATGGTATGTGGTGGTTTTGCTGCTGTTGTACTTGCTGTCGCATTCTGGAGCTCCCGCATGTGTAGGATCTTAGCTCCGCTACCACGTTCATGCAAACTGCTAACTACGACAGTTTTCAAAACTTCAACAATCTGCACGAGCCCTTTTGTAGCCTCACTGTGGTTGTAGCTCACGGCTTGCGGCGTTGAGCGCAAAGCGTTCATCAAGAAGTGCAACATGTGGTTCGACGTGTCTCTCTCTCTCTCCTTCTCTCTCTCTCTCTCTCTCTCTTTCTTTCTTTCTTTCTTTCTTTCTTTCTTTCTTTCTTTCTTTCTTTCTTTCTTTCTTTCTTTCTTTCTTTCTCTCTCTTTCTCTCTCTCTCTGGTTAAGAAATATGCTGCTTTCCGGTTGCTACATCCTTGTACAGCCATATGCCGCTTTGGATAGGCCTACTTGGAGCAAGTTCACTATGATTACTTTCCACTTCTACTCTCATCGGAAGCGTCTACCGAGCGCTACACCGTAGTGGAGATCCTGGCCAACGCATGCTCAGGCGCTGCAAGCGCGCTAGTACGGAGCCTCGCTAGGCGTCTGTGCCTTCGAGAACTTCATTTGGGTGCCAGATCTGTTGGCTATCTAGAAGTCCGTAGTGTAACATCGGTGTAGAGACGGAGTCCGTGTCCTCAGTCTTCTCCCTTGCCACGATTCGACTTCGTGCTCCGGGTCCTTTGTTCCGGTGGGCCCATCTTGTCAGAATCGCTTTTCCCGAATGCGTAGAGAAGGGTTCCCGTTATTAAGTGGGGTCTGGGGTCAGGTTGTGTTGGCTGGTCGGCTCGCGTGTGCTGCAAGCGTCCGAAAGCGTTCGACAGCGTCCGCGAGCGTCCGCATGAGCATGTGGAAAAGTTGCCGGGCCATCGGGATTGTCGCAAAAAGTGACTCTTCTCGTGCGTGAATCCTGTCTGTTGCAGCGTTGCGTGTTTGGAAGGCCGCGCGTTCTCGTTGCCGTGCCATTAAAATTTGCATTGCAGGGGTGGTCGTTTTGCGGTGGGCAGGCGTGATAGTGTTTGCGCCGGTCCTTTTCGTTGGCCCTGTCGTACAATCGGCTCGTTTTGGCGAGCTTGAAACGTGTCAAAACTGGTCGAAATCATTCTGGCGCCACAGTCCCGTGCCAGTTCGGGTTGCGTGTCGCAAACGTGTCAAAGTTGGATTTCCTGGCAGGTGCAGCAGTTTGGATGATTTTGAGTTCGTGGCAAGTTTACTTTTGCGTGACAGGCGCAGCACTTTCGAGCGTTTTGGTTGAATATCGTGGCAGGCGCAGCACTTTGGAGGTTTTCGCGCAAATTTGGTAGCATGTGCAGTACTTTGGCGCCTGGGTGTAGATTTCGTGGCAGGCACGTCACTTTAACTCAGCCAAATCGCTCTCGCTGTGGCGCGGTGCGCATTTTGAGAACGCGAGGCGACCTCTGCGCACTTTGGGTGGGTCGAATCGGTGTCGCTGTGGTGCGGTGCGCATTTTGAGCATGCGAAGTGAACCCTCTGCGGACTTGGGCGGGTCGAATTGCTCTTGCTGTGGCGTTCTGAGCTCGCAAAGTGAACCCTTTGCGCACTTTGGGTGGGCCGAATCGCTCTCGCTGTGGCGCGGTGCGTATTTTAGAAGTGTCGTTCAGAAGTGTCGATCAGAAGTGTTGTTCAGAAGGGTCGATTAGAAGTGTCGTTCAGAAGTGTCGATCAGAAGTGGCGTTCAGAAGTGTCGTTCAGAAGTGTCGTTCAGAAGTGTCGATCAGAAGTGTCGGTCAGAAGTGTCGATCAGAAGTGTCCATCAGAAGTGTTGCTCAGAAGTGTTGATCAGAAGTGTTGCTCAGAAGTGTCGATTATAGAAGTATGGAGAGAGACAGAGAGAGAGAGAGAGAGAGGGAGTGAAGACAGTGAAGCGAGAGAGAGATGATCAGAAGTGACAATCTGAAGTGTCAATCTGAAGTGTTGTTCAGGAGTGTCGATCAGAAGTGTCGATGGCAAGTTTCGCTCAGAAGTGTCGTTCAGTAGTGTTCAGTAAGACAAGCGACGTGGCAAGAGACAAGACGAGCTGCGTTTCTCAGAAGTGTCGCTCAGAAGTGTCGATCACAAGTGTTGCTCAGAAGTGTCGATCAGAATCGTTCAGAAGTGTCGGTCAGCAGTGTTGCTCAGAAGTGTGAATCTGAAGTGTCGATCAGCAGTATCGATCAGAAGTGTTGCAGTTGATCTTGCTCAGAAGTGTCGCATCGCTCAGAAGTGTGTCAAAGAGAAGCGTTGCTCAGAAGTGTCGATCAGAAGTGTTGATCAAAAGTTTGCTCAGCAGTGTCGCTCAGAAATGTCGATCAGCAGTGTTTCTCATTGATCAGAAGTGCCGAGCAGACGTGTCGATCCGAAATGTTGCTAAGAAGCGTCGCGTCGCTCAGAAGTGCTGCTCAGAAGAGTCGATTAGATGTGTTGAGCACATGTGTTCATCACAAGTGTCGAGCAGCGGGGTTCAGATTGATGAGAAGTATTGCTCAGACGTGTCGATCAGAAGTGTGGCTCAGCAGCGTCGCTCAGAAGTGTTGCTCAGAAGCGTCGCACAGAATTGTCGATCAGACGTGTTGCGTAGAGTTGTCGCCCAGCTCGGATTGAAGTGTTGCTCAGAAGTGTCGGTCAGCAGTGAGTGTTGCTCAGAAGTGTCGCTCAGAGTGTCGATCAGAGTGTCGATCAGGAGTGTTGCTTAGAAGTGTTGCTCAGAAGTTTGATCAGAAGTGTCGCGTCGCTGTGTTGCTCAGAAGTGTCGCTCAGAGTGTCGCTTATGTGTGTGTGTAGACGTGTAGCTCATCGATCAGAAGCTCGGATCGAAGTGTTGCTCAGAAGTGTCGGTCAAAAGTGTCGATCAGATGTGTTGCTCGCTCAGAAGTGTCGGTCAGAAGTGTCGCTCAGCAGCGTCACTCAGAAGTGTCGCTCAGAGGTGTCGCTCAGATATGTGTGTGTAGAAGTGTCGCTCGAACCGTCGCTTAGGAGTGTCGCCCAGGAGTGTTGCTGATGCGCGTGGCTCAGAAGTGTCGCTCGGAGGTGTTGTCCGCAGTGTTGCTCAGGAGTCTCGCTCAGAAGTGTTGCGCGGAAGTGTTGCTCAGACGTGTCGCTCACACATGTTGCTCAGGAGCGTCGCTCAGAAGTGTCGCTCAGATATGTGTGTAGAAATGCTGCCCGAACTGGAGTGTCACTCGGCAGCGTCGCTTACGTGTATGTGTGTGTGTAAAGTGTAAAGTGCAAAAGTGTCACTTGAAGTGTTGCTCAGAAGTGTCGCTTATGTGTGTAGAGGTGTCGCTCAGTTTGCCGTACTTTGTCGCTCAGAACTATGGCTGCAGGATTGGCACTTGACGCTTAGATGCGTCAATCAGAGGTGGCGCTTAGGAGCGTAATTCGAAATATCGCTTGTAAGTCTGTTCAGAAGTGTCGCCCCTGCTCAAGCTCTTGCTCAGAAGCGTCTCTCAAAAGTGTCAGTGACACAAGTCGCTTACGAGTGTTGCGTTGAAGAATATCTAGAGGTGTCGGTTGAACGGTCGGTCAGAAGCTCAAAGCGTCGCCCAAAACATGGCTCCTGGACAACATTGCTCGAGTTGACGAAATGCACATTCCCAAGGCCATCTTTTGCATTCGGGTTCGTGGCTTCTATCAGGTTAGGGTTCATGTTGGGCCCACAAACGCTTGTAAGGGTTTATGTTGGCCCCGGACACCTTCTAGGGTTTATGTTGGCCCCACCCACACTTTGTTAGGGCTTATATTGCCGCCAAGGGTTTATGTTGGCCCCCTCTATGTTGGCCCCACCCACACTTTTTAGGGTTTATGCACCGAGACCTGTTAGGGTTTATGTTGGCCCCCAGACACCTTTTAGGGTTTATGTTGACCCCGTTTAGGGTTTATGTTCCGCCCACCAACACCGCTTAGGGTTTATGTTCCGCCCACCAACACTGTTTTAGGGTTACGCGGGCCCCACCAACACTGTTTTAAGGTTTATGTTGGTCTCCAGACACATTTTGCGTTTTTGCTGGCCCCGCCACCACTTTTTAGGGCTTATGTTGTGTTTATGTTGGAGCCACCGACACCTTTCAGACTTGTTTCTTTAGGGTTTATGTTGGCCTCCAGACACCTTTTAGGGTTTTTACCGGTGAGCCTCAAGTGGTTGGACCTTTTGGTAGAGATCGGAAAAAGCATAGAGGTGCTGTTGTTCAACAAGTTTTCGAAACAACTGGGCACATTCAACGTCAAAGAAAACAAAGCTGCTGAAACTGCGCCCTAGCCTATTGATGCAGACCTTCAGCCTTGATTAGACCAGGACAAAAGCGGGCGAATAACTTGATCCTTAAGGCATGGGC